CTTCCACTCCGGAGTGGAAATTCCGCCTCCTGGTTTATACAGAATTGTTACAAAATTTTATCACCTCATTCTATTATGCTTGATTTGTTAATTTATTTTGTGACTATTCTGTGATCTTTATTATGTATCATGATTCAAAGGTATTTGTAACTATTTGAAAGATTCATTTCTACTTCGATTTTATCTCGAACGAGATAGAGTCGAATCAAATTCGCAAATTCTTTGATGCATTTGATACTTAGTTTTAAGTATTTCAGGATTAGCACTACACACTATCGCGACTTCCTCTTATAGCTAGAAATATTTGATATGATTAAATATAATGAATTACTGAAATGAAGGTATTGCAAGAAAATGCATTACATTTATTGCACTATTTATTTCAATTCGATTTTATTACTCGACGTTAAARGTGCGAAGTGTTATTAGGTCATCGAGGGAAATTATTATCTGCTCGGACATTCAATTAAATGTGCTCGTTTATGATCAGTGAATTCTAAGTTCATTGATGGTCTACGAGTTAGAAAAATGAACGAAAATAGTAAATTAATTTTTTAATAATTGAGAATTAGAATCGTAATAAAATACGAGCTAATTTGCAAAAGTAGTATAAAAGATCTTATCTTGCTTACACGTAGAAAATATCCAAATGCAGTTTTCAAGGAATGAAGAAAGAAGGGGCTAAAAGCCGAAGAGGCCCCCACTTAATTGTGACTGAAGAGGGCAACTACAGGCTACTGAATTATTATTTTCAAAGGTTCAATATCATGTTCGAACCTTTCGAGAATGGTTCTTTAGTAATATTTTATATTTTATTCTATTATTTCTTTGCTCGTCATTAATTTATAGTTGTAATTGGAGATGATGGACCATTCCATCTCCTTGAGACACAAAATTCGTGTCTATATCGTCAAAAAGATGCATATGTGTTTAGTTAGTTCGAGTCAAATATTTGAAAATTTTTGCATTATTAAATTTTGACGTTTAAATAATTTTCGGTAAATATTAAAGTAATTTCTTTTTTCTTGCTTCGTCCTTAAGATTTTTTTACTGCGATCGTATTTTATTAAAATTATAAAACTGCGATGCGGAGGATCTTTCTATTAAAATTAAGAGCTCATATTGGGTGAGAATTCTTTTAAGGTGTCTAGGAACCCATTTTTGCGTGGCACTTGAAAAAAAAAATAAGTCATTTTTTTGACCCACCCTAATATTTAACTATGCTTCAAAAATTAATTTTTTTTAATTACGAATACTTAAACACATACACACACACACATTAAACTACTTATATTATACATTGCAAATTGTATATCAAGAGATTGTAGGTAAAGTTATTTAAAAAATGATTTTTTAGAGAAATATACTTATGTTTAAAGTTTCGATTTGTAAATAGTGGTCCGGTATGTATCATTTTCTAGAAGTACGTCGGTTATACGATAGATTTTTATTTTACCGAGCTTCGATATTAGTAGATTTCTGTTTTTGATTTTTGAATTTTCCTCTTTTTTCGTTTTCATATAATTGTGAATAAAAGTGTCGAAAACAGTGTTTACACCTTTGAACATGTCAGGTAAATTTTTAAATCAATTGTAACGAACAAAGTATTAGTTTGAAGATAACGCTTCTAAAGAGGGGGGTAACAGCTAGTTTAAATTTGAAGAAAAAAATATTTTCTTACCCATAAATTATTTTCTAAAAAATATTAATACAGTAAACAAAAACAAACAAAACTATACTTCTCTTAATGATCAGTAATTAAAATTTCAAATAATATTCAATATCTGTAATATATTTTTGTCCAGGAGTGTACATACATTTACGATTAGAGTAAAAGTTCTAGATAGAAAGGTACCTTGCTCGAATGGCTTATATGTATGTATGTTTGCGCTTGCGTTTCTCGACATTTCTCTTCTCCCACTATTTCCACCCTATTCTCTATTTCATGAGGGAGTACCACATCGTTTATGTATAGATGTACGTACGTCCGTTAAAAGGAGAGATAGTTAACGACGAGTATGAGAAACGTTTGACAGGTCTGATAGTCAGTGATAATGCTCTTCCCAATTGATGTTAATCTTAAGTGAATCAGTTTTGTTCATTGATCGTGCTGAGACTGGCTTGGCATTATTTGATATTCTTGCTTATGAACAGACAGACTGCGAGAGTCAGAAGCGAATTCAATGAATCGTTCTTCTCTTACTTCGACCAGTTAGAAAGGGTGGAAAGTGGAGTGGATGCGGTAAAGAAAAAAGGGGGAAGGGTTCGTCGAAATTAAATTCTAGAAAATGTAGCATTAACGTAAAAAAAAAGAAAAAAAAAAGTTGAAAAAAAAAACGAAGACGTTTCGTTATCGAAGACGATTAAAAAAAAAGGGTTACGTGTGGTTATTCGCGAATGCTCTCGATTTGTTACATTCGTTAAGGAGGGTGGTGCGGTGGTGGTGGATGATCAGGATGTTGATCGAGGACGAAAGAAGGAGGAGGAGAAGAGAAGCTACGACGTTGACAACGAAAAGAACGCGTGCGTGTTTTAAATACGGACAGGGATGCCGCAACGCAATATCAACTTGTTTAGCAATTTTCCTGATCGTTTTGATGACGGTCAGCGAGCTTGTCGATGCGAAGCAATTAGGTTTGTCGAGTTTCGTCCTAATGTTTTTTTTCTTATTTTTTGACACCTTTTTTCGATCTATATTTTTGATATTACCGTTTTCTCAGACAAACTTATTTTACAAGAAGGATGCACGTTGGAAGGACTGCATCCACTTCTCATCGTTACTTACAAAAATATCACCATATCGGTAAGATTTTGTTCTTTTTTTTTCTCTTCGTTTATTTTAGATATTAATATCTATATTGGTAAGAGTGTAATGTTGTTTATAATTATCATAGACGTAAATATATCAAAGGAATATTATTTTCATAGGTAGACAAAATTACGGTACCTCATAGAGAACGCGTTATGGTGAGGTGTCGTGAACTTGGAAAATACAAGTTAATCGGTGATCCATCGTTACATTGTCGTAATGCAACGTGGAATGGGAAATTACCGTCTTGCGTGCCTACAACAGCTATTTCCAATTATACCGGTGAGATAACTCGAATCTCTTTAGATTAAAATTAAATTAAAGCGAAACATTTTGTACATCGACTAATTCACACTCCTCTTGTTATTCGAGGAGATCCAGAAGACGTTCCACCGACGATTGTTTTCGGATTACCAGCAGGTTCAGCTGCTATCGAACCCACTGGTACACTTGCAGTATTTCCTGGAAGCATACTTCATTTGGAGTGTCTTTTTGCTAGACGATTAGGTAATCCAGAATGGACCTGGACGTCGACTTATCGTCAATATTTAACGGGTCAGAAATTTTAAAATATAATTTTTTTTTTCTAAAAAGAATCAAAATATTATATTATATTAGGTCTACCGGTAAGTTTTGTCCGTTGCGACAAACACTGGTTCAATTTTTCATCTCTAAGCATAAGACATTTTTAAAAAATGCAATATACAAATTGTCATCACGTCGTGGTAAGAAGTTATAAATAATGACAATTGATAAATATTAATCAATTAAAGAGATATGAAAATTTATTACTTTTGTTCTATTCTAAAAACGGACAGTACTTTCCGGTAGATTTAATATGTAATAATAATTAATATATATTATTATTATTATAATATATATTAAATTATGATTATATTCATTGATTAATTAGGATGGGCGATCGCTGCTAAAGAGAGAGATTGGAAGTATCGATTGTCAATTTATTACGCTAAAGTTCAGGATTCTGGAGTATACACGTGTTCAACCCCACGAGGTCTAGCAAATTCTATAAAAGTTCACGTCGTTGGTAAGATTTGAATTCAAAAATGAATCGTTGAATTAATTTCAATCTAAAATATCGATTTGAAATCTATCTTTTCGTCTGTTAGACGTCCAGTGTCCAGTAATAAGTTTAACAGAGGGACCGTTGATCGGTAAAATCGAGGGTGCACGAATGGGTCATAGTGCTAATTTCGAATGTCCCCTTGGATATAGATTAGATGGTGCTTCGATGATAACGTGTCAGTATAACGGTGAGCAATTGGTTCTAAAAATGTTTTCAAGAGAAATTTCGATGCGAACAATGGTAGATGGCCGAGGAGTGTTAATGACCACGCGACAGGGCTGCAGTACTGTAATTAAAAAGTTATCAGAAAAGATATTTTATATTTATATATACGAGTATATTCGGTACTTCGCGTTAACCTCTTCAAGACCTTTGACATTTCATTTAAATCCTGTAGAAAATCTATATCCACTTTTAAAACTGTTACAAGGATAAATCTCAAATTTAATATCAAATTTGGATGGAATTTTGTAACCAGAAAAAAAAAACAAAAAGAAAAATAAAATTTAAATAATGGTTTATTATCTTTTTTATTTGTCATAAGTAAAATTAAAAAAAAAAAGAAAAAAATGAAAATATACTTGTTATGAACGAGTTAAAAACGTAATTTTGAAGAGGTTAAAGTCATAGGTCATACACCATTATTTCATACATTGAAATGTAAAGGACTATACTATAATCCTGTCGAGCGGCCGAATGCGAATTGTATAAGGCGTCGAAATAATTCGATCGTAGGAAAGAGTTAAGCGAAGACTCCCGTCGTCGTGCGATATATTCCAGGAATGTGGTCAGGAGATAAACCACGTTGCGAGGCAATAACCTGTCCACGGATAGATCTTCCCAGTGATACTTGGTTACAACTACTAGAGCACAACAATAGTTTTGGAGGCAGGGCTGTATTCGCTTGTATGTGGGGTCATAAATTAATGGGATCTCAGAGCATCAAGTGCGAAGGGAATGGCATGTGGAACGGTACCATGCCAAACTGTTTGGGTAAATTTTTTACCTTTGATTTCACTTTTTTCAATTCTGACCAATAAAATTGGATCTAACAATAAGCACAAGATTCTGATTCAAACACGACTTTTGTTACTTGTCGCTTTTTCGTTGCATTCCATTTCAAAAATCACTCCCATTCTAAACAAATTTTCACTTTAAAAAAAAAAAAAAACAATTGATTTTAATTGATTAATTATATTTCCAGAGATCACGTGTCCGTCGCCATCGTTACCACGAAGTGGTCAAATTGTCGATCAAATGTTACAATCTAATCGTAGAAAACATCATCGTAATCGTATCTATAAGGTCGGAGCTCTCGTTAAATTTGCCTGTTTACCTGGTCATCAATTGATAGGTGAAGCGTCTGTAATTTGCACCGAAAATGGCACCTGGTCGCATCAATCACCAGTTTGTAAGTTTCGTTGTGAATCGTTTCATTTTGCTTCATTGATAATAATATTTTCTTGTTTCTTTTAGCTATCATGTTAGTAAATTTACATTTCAATTTTTATCATTATCTTATCATTTGATACGAACCCCTTGTTTACTTTGTTATATCTTCGAGAGATACTTTCAATTTTATTTATCTATACTTGATTTTATAATAAATGATAAGTACACGGTATAGGGTTCTTCAAATTTTATTGGTTTAGAGAAAATATATTTATTAGAATATTTTGTTTATTTTTTCGATGAATTACTGTGTCTTAAGTTTGGTGATAATATTTTATTTGTCTGTATCGGTAATTTAAATTTGATTACTCAAAATAATCTCTTTTTAGAGATTAAAATTGCTTATAAAAAAAAAGAAAACTTGATTACTAGAATGTTTATTAATTTAAAAAAAAAAAAAAAACACAACAAATAAGAAAGAGAAAAGCCATAGTTTAAAACATTTTAGGTAAAGTAAGATGTCCATATCCTGGTGATCCTCCGCATGGTCGAATTTCACCGTTGAAATTTTGGTATACACCTGGAGATAATATACAAGTTTGTATATCGAAAATTACATATTTTATTCTCTAACATTTTATATCTTTTCTCGAAAATTTGAAAAAAGATCGGGTAGAAAAAAAAATACAATATTTAGGTATATGTAGCAAAATTTAATTATACAGGTGACATGCTCTCCCGGTTACGTCACACCTTTAGAACCTGTCAGAAAGCCTACGTGTCGAGAAAATGGAATATGGAGTGCACCACCACCACCATGTCGTTCATACAAAGATGTTTGATCTATAACCGCGACATTGGATTTCTTTCGACGATCGATCGAAGACACAAAAAAAAAAAAAAAAAAAAATCGACCTGATTTTCATACGAAAGTAATATCGCTTACTTATCTGCACCGATCGTAACCCTTTTTATCCATTTGGATAAAAAACATTTAGAAAGCGTCCCGTAATAATGCGACGCGTTTAAATAAATATAAAACGAGATGTACAACGAAGAGTACACTTTCTTCTTATCTATTATATGTTAATTAGGAATATTTTTTATTGTTTTTTTCTTTCTCTTTTATGATTCATTAGTTTTTTCGGTAGATTTGTGTTTACGAGGGATATAAAATTAAAAAAAAATAGATAAACATATATATATATATACATATGTATATATATATATATATATTTGTCGATCGCACAAATACAAACGAATATTATCATTAACCCTCGATAAAATTTAAGTAATCTCTGACACTTTTCTGTTTTTATATATACGCAATAAAAAGTGTCTGTTATTCTTTAAGAATTTTCAACGAAATTTTGTCATATATATATTTAAGAGCCTTTTCCTATCGTCGTCCTTTTTATTATTCAAATTATCTTTTCAATGGCACGTAAATTTACGTAAATATTTTTGTAGATAATTTTTCTTAAGAACGAATTATAATAGATAGAAGCGTGCGCATAACAAGATTAGCACATTGATTGTTACCTTGGTACCGTTATTATCACTAAGATCACTGTTGTCTGTAGACACAAATCTAATTTTTAGCCTTTATTATATTTTTCTATTTTTCTTTATTCTCTTGTAATGTGTGTGTGTGTGTTCTTTTTTTTTATTTATAAATAATATTTTATAAACTACAAATTTTAGTAGAAAGAAAAAAATATGGCAGTTGTTAAAGCAACAACTTGTAAAGAAGCGATACGACGTTGGGAGGAAGAAAACAAACAGGATCCTGCTACTGCGAAAGAAATTAATCTTAGTTTTCAATGGCTTCCTATAGAAAAAATGGACAATTCTTTAGCTTGTTTAACCGGATGTGAAAAATTATCTTTATCTACGAATATGATTGAAAAGATTACAGGTGAGAATTTATAAAAATAGAAATTTTATAGGGAAAATTGTATATATACATTTATTTCAATTTTAACTCGATGAAATATTAATTAAAATATATCCCATAAGTAATGGTTAGATTCGTATTAATATTTTCTATAATTTTTGTTAGAATTAAAATATGGATTTTTATTTAAAACAAATTGTTATGACTTCGTGTCTTGACAATTACGTCTAGAAAATAACTACAAAATATTTGTTGTTAAATTAATAGGATTAGGATTAGGAAAATTAATTCGATCATATCGGTTTAAAAAAATGAGCAACCATGTATATTTCGTAGGAATTGGAACATTAAAACATTTAAAAATCTTATCTTTGGGCCGTAATGTTGTTAAAAGTTTTTCCGGTCTCGAACCGCTTGGTGATACTTTAGAGGAATTATGGATTTCTTATAATTATATCGAAAAAATGAAAGGAATCGGTGCAATGAAGAATCTTCGTACGTTGTATATGTCTAACAATTTGGTAAGAGATTGGACCGAATTTGGCAAACTTCAAGAAATTACAAATATTCGAGATTTATCTTTTGTCGGAAATCCACTGTACGATAGTTTAGAGGTAGAACAAAATTCTACGTGCAAGAACATTGTCATTTGCGTATAAAAAAAAAAAAAATTATCAATGATTTTATAACAATTTATTGTAGGTGGATCAATGGAGACTAGAAGTTGCACGACGTTTGCCATATTTAGAAAAATTAGATGGCGAGCCTATTATTAGAACCGAGGACAATACGTTTGCCAATCAATCGATGTTAATGAAAAACGAGGGTTCTCCACAAAATTCTAAAATTTCAGAAGATAATACGTCATAATTTGTTATTAATAGGTTATTTATATTACTCTTTATCTTTTCTTTCTTTTTTTTCATCAATAAGCAATAATTTTTATACATATATATCATTTATTTGTTCTCACGATACAAGATAGATTGTACATACGTTTTTGGTGGTCTGAAAAAAGCAAAATATACTAAGAAGTTCGATTTGATTCGATGCACGAAGTTTATATCAAGGTTAAAACATACGGTGTATAGGTATACCTATTATTTACTTAAACTTTGCTTTTTTTTTTTATATAAGGCGCGTCAGAGCTGTTAAGTGTTATTTTACATAACATCCTGATCATTTTTATGTATATAAGATACACGGGAAGGCGCAAAGTTATATATATAATTATATATACGTGCATTAGAAAAAATTGACGTGTATGCGCTTGAGATTAGTTTCTCTTTCAATTTTTTTATTCTCATCATAATCTTCTTTTTCTTCTTCTTCTTCTTTCTCCCTTTTTTCATATTTCTTATTTGATTTTTCTGATTTCCATAAAACCATACATCAAAAATGTATTTTTCTAAATTTGTTTGTCCCAATCATCACACAAAATACCTACTTCTCAACATTAAACGTTTTTGTTTTTTTTTTGTTTCTTTTTTTTTTTCTTCATAAAATCGCATAAGAAAGATTAGAAAGAGAGAGAACAAATCTAGAAATAGTAGGAAAAATAGAGATTGTTCGAGCAAATAAAATTAGGCGTAAAACACCTTTTGTATTAAAAGGTGCGATTCCAAAGTTTTTTTTTTCTTTTTCACATTTACCATTTTTGGATCGCATGATTTTTCGATAGGATTTCTTTTTTTGTTCTTTTTTCTTTTTTTTTTTAGAAAGAGCCGTGTGCTAATAAGACGTGTCGTCGTGTTCTTTGAATATATGTGTCTTCGATTTCATCACACACATTATTTTTCTTATTATTTGTTACGTTTAAAATAAAATATCTTTCGACATTATTTTAATGAACATGCCACCATAATTTATTTCATAATCGGATCATCATTGTCCTGAATTTGAGTGGCATTAGAGAAAGATAGAATAAGTTAGATATATTTAATCGACGACGAGTGTAAGAAAAATATTCTTGTATATCGACCATTCTCTTTGTTTTTACTTCATTATTAACTTCTTTAAATATTATATATTCTCGAAACGCATTGCAAAATAGGTCGTATACACATATTAAGTAACGTTTCAAGAATAATAAGTAAGATCGATCATTTAGCGGCGATCCGAAAGAACATAGGTACATATATACATTGTACATATTACATTACGACAAAATCAGACGAGACGAGACGATACTTTTCATTTTTTTATTCTCATTCCTTTTACGCCTTTTTTTCTATTTTTTAGTTAATATCCTTCTAAATTCAGCAAATCGTACGTTCCGACTTGGACGATAATTTTTTTTTTTTTATAAACATTTACCGTTAACTACATCACACAGACATATTTTTGTTTTTGGTTTTTTTTTTCATTGTTTTCTATTATTTCCTCGTTTCAATCCATTCTTCAATTTTTTTTCTTTTTTTTCGAATAAATTTGTTTTGTTCGTCTTCTTCTTCTTCTTCTTCTTCTTCCAAAACAGAAAAATAAATTTTTCTCGATGCTATTTTCATTCTTTTTTTTTTGCTTCGCTTTCTTATCAAACATTGATTTATAAATTCAAACACGTGATTTTACACAGGACATTGGGATAAATTTACGTTAAATATCCAGAGAGAAGGATATCATAAACGAGTTAAGTTCTTTTTCGTTAGTTCATTCATAATCTCCATGTTGATATATTATCTTCTATCATCTCTTCTTCACCTGTGTATTTGATAGATTTTTATTCATTAGTGTGATGCCAACATTTTTATGATGTGGCGAATCGTTGTTTTTGTTTCTTTACGAAATCGAGGGCTAGTTTATCACCTGTTCTTGTTTCCAAAATTTGAAGAATTGGATGGTCTGAAATAGAAATCGAAAATAAAAATTGATATAATTTATAATCAGAGTAAATGTTACTACAAATTAATAATGTATTAATAATTTTTTCATTAACACGTTGGCTGCCGTGGGGGTTACCGATGACCGGCACTCGACTTGGCTACAGCGCCGTGGGGGCCATCGGTGACCGGTAACGCATAATGAAAAATTCATGTTGGCACCTTGGGCAAGTCACGTAAAATTCGCGCGGCAGCCAACGTATTAATAAATGATTTGAAAATCATTTGAAGTTGAATTTTTGTTGAAATTTATTCTAGTTGTAAAAGTATACTTACTTCGATTTTTTTGGTGCATTAATGGTAACTCAGTATGTTTGAGGCCATGAAAATTATCTATACTGGTATTAGTGTCAGCTACACCTGGTATCGTGCTTAATCCCAAAAATGCTTCACCAGCAAAATCGTTAGCTGTGAGTACATCGTGATCCATTACAGTAAATAATACTATAGCGTCAGGACTTTGACATTGTTCCACGCTTACCGAACTTTATATTTTAAACAAATAATTCAATCATTATATCATTCAACAAAATCAAATTCATTAAAAAGAAAATAAGAAATTGATGAGAAAATTGATAAACTCACAATTCGAAGCATTCGTCGAACATCGGATTCAAAGTTCTTTTCTTAACGTTAGTTTGTTGTTCAGCACAATGTTCAAATACTTTTCGTGGTAATAATTCAATAATTACAAATGGATCGCTAAAACCATTTGGATCTAACGGTATTACGTCTCTAGCATTGATCACTTCTACACAAAGCGAATCGTGATTCAAATATGCTCTTACTGTCAAAACACCATACTCGGATGTCACGGTATTCAATTGGTCCTAGAAAATATTCAATAAAACGAATTTGAAATATTTGGAAAAATTTGTGAAACAATTATTTTCTTTTATTTTTTAAGTTATCGTTACCTGAAGTCGTTGATAATAGTAACGATTGATAAGATAATTCGTATCCATTGTATGATACTTTAATCGTTCCTCCACATTTAAATAGTTACGACTATGAAGTATCCCTAAAGATAGACCCTTTTCATCAGCATGAAAAAATTTGGTCAATAGTAAAAGTGCTTCGTGCAATCTTTCGTAAAATACAGATGGCTTGTCCTAAAATAGAATCAATATTTTAATATTATCATTATTAATTGCAATAACTTTTAAAATCATTATTTATACAACGTACTCCTGCATTTCCATCCATTTGATTGCTCAATTCACTGAGAACAACCTCCCAAACGTCCTGTAAGACACGCGTAAAATTGACTGCTAAAAGAGCTGAATTAAGTGCAACCAAATGCATATCCAAATATTCCAATAAAGGATTGATTGCTTCTGATGTTGGTAAACTATCCGGTGACCAGGCAAGATGAAACATTGATTTCTTCAAAGATGGTCTCATCTGGACAATAACAACAATTTTATAGAAATTTTAAAGCCTATCATTATTTATAATATGGATCGTTTGTTTTGAAAGTGGTGGTGTGTGTTAGTTCATATATATGTATATTCTAAAAAATAATATTTAGCATAATTTTTTGTTTACCTTCGTGCCAATTCTCGAAACAATTTGATTAATGAAAAGTAACATTTGTCCCGGTGTTTGTTCCAATGGTAAAGTCAATACATTTCTCCATTGCACTCTAACAGAATCTCCAGCTTGATTTTCCAATTCAGTGAGAATTTCCTCAACCTTAAGTTCTTCTCCGAGATCTAATAACCATCTTCTTACATATTCTAAACCGTTTAAAGCTACGCACATCTAAACATACAAAAATGTATGTATTAGTAAAATATAAAATAAATATATATATATATGTATTATAAAATATAAGAATAATTCATAATTTTGGTATTTCTATATTTTAAATTATTAATTATTTATTAATTATTAAACATACTTACAAACTTTAAGAAAAATTACTATGATTCGTTTAAATAATATAAAAATGTTGTACTCACTCAATATTATCTTCCAATGATATTACAAAGAATTAGTGAGTAAATTAAAAAAAAAAAAAAAATTTCTTTCTGATCAATTACCTCATCTGTAGTTTTGTATGGTGTCTGATCGTCATAATATCCACTGTCTGCTAATTTTTGATGTATTATTTCGGCATAGTGATTAGCAGGAGTACAGATAGCCTATAAAATATATAACTTATATATGATCATCAAAATATTGTTTTAAATAAAAATAAATGGAATAATTTCATTCAATCACTTACATCAATAACTTTTGAAACGAAACTGTACGATCCAACGAGATCTGGCCATGCTAATTTTTTCCAAAATTCTTTGATCTATAAATATATATTGAAAAAATTATTTAAAAATATACTACTGTTATCGTATTAAATGAAAATATAAAATATGTAATTACATTACCTGATAAAAGCACGCAGTAGCATCGATTGCAGATGTACAGTGTTTTACTATAAAATCACCTGTACAAATTCGATCCAATTCTGTAGCTCTTCGAATTCTTTGAAATGCTTTCAGTTTTGCTAAATCCAACCATTTGTCAACTGCTGGTCTAAATAACTCATAATATTTGCAAATTATCAGAGATTTCTGATCAGACAATGGTAACTTTTCCTTCATACTGAATATCAGAAAAAATTCAGAAATATTTAGTAAATTATTCTTCTTCTTCTTCTTATTATTATTATTATATTGGATGAATGTGAATGAATTATACCTGACAAAATTTTGCAATGCTAGATAAAATTCAAAAATTGCTGTTCCAATTTCTGCACCTGGTGGTAAAACGTAATCTACATCGCTGTTTTGTCCATGAATTTGAAGACAAGCTGTAGTGACTCTTGCACCGAGTTCATTTTGAATCTGTCGGATTATTTAATGATTAATATTTTTTTTAATGCATTAATTATTGGTCATGTTTTTGTTTTCAAATATATCGAAATATAAACAAATATTTTGTCTCTGTCGCTACGTGAAATAATGAAATAAATTGTAACATAATTTATTGATTTAATTTAAAGAATTATTTTATTAAGAAAATGATAAATTTCAAATTCCAATTTTGGAGTTTATTTTAGAAATATTGATTATCGATTGAAAATATTTGTTTTATTGTAAAAAAAAAAAATGTTATATCACAATATTGTGTCATGGTAGAAATTAGATTAATAATTGAAATAGGAAGGTAATGCAATTTTCAATAAATTCATGCATTTACTACTTAGCATGCATATCTAAATGACATACGTGCAGCACATACTGCAGTGCCAGTGTTACTTAACATTTATCGAGGAAATAAGTGAATTTCCGCTGAAAAGTAAAAGAATCTTTAAAAAGGTTTTAAGCACTATTCTCGGTGTCGATATGTAATTGTACATTAGTCTCTTGATGTATTGCAATTAAGACTTTGTATTAATAGACTACAAAGAGGTAATATATATATATATATTATATAATATTATAAAGAAATAATGCTATAGTAAAAGATAAAGTGGTTTTTTTTACTAATATAAAAAATACTTTTTTTCATTTTTTTTTCTTCTTTTTCTTCTATAAAATCTATTTCTTTGAAATTGCATGACCACAGTTAATACAGAAGATGGATGTCAGGGTCGATAGGTGGTAATTCATAATACTTTGACATCTATAGGAAAATCGAAGAATATGGAAGAAAGAAAGAGACAAGGAGAGATTAACATTTTGTTAATCGACGTTAGAAAAGTACCTCGGAAGTGTTCTCCATGTGTTTCGTCACGTGTTCCGCCAGCTATGAAAAAACATTATGTGTACAATTAAATAATTATGAACCGATGGACACACAAATAAACTCTCGTGAATATCCTTTTTCAAATTTTCTTGTACACGGTAACAACGGTACATAATCATTTTCTTAAATATCGCAAGCTTTTCATATCTTGTAAATATATAAATATATATATGTGTGTGTATGTGGCACAAATATGTGTACATAATTGAATTGTAAATATGTAATATAACATCGATCGAATCTATATTTATGTAACGTCACAATATCGTGCTTTTCTTAAAATATTGACGTAATAATTAAAATAACATTATTTTTTTATAAATTATTTTATATATATATAAATATATATTTAAAAAAAAAAAAACAATAAAAGAGAGCATATAAAAAATACGATCGATGTCTGCGATCAAAGCGTCAAAGCCAAACATAGCACATCGAGCTCGACGAGGTCAAAAAAATGATAATTTTATATATAACATCGTGTGTTTTAATGTGGTCACGTGTAGTTTTTTTTTTTCGCTGTGACGTAATAAACCCAGTAAATTTCAAATAATCCTCATCATTGATATTAATTACGTTCGTATACTAAATGCTTACCAATTTTTCCAACTGCTTGTAAACTATCGAAAAATATGGTACACCGTTTGTACTGAAAACAAAAGATATAAACATATATAATGAAAATTAATCAAAATATAAAATCCACTTTATGATTTGATAAATAACGCAATAAATATTATATAGGTATCTAAGCTTACCTTTCAAATAGAACATTATAATACATACGACCCTGTTCCAAATCGACCAATAGTGCCGTGACTAAATTTGTAAAATCTTGCAATACACGATCCGCATCTTGATCAGGTTCTTGATCATGATACATTGTTTGATGTCGTACATTCTCGTACCTAGATTTAAACAAAAAAATATGAATATTTGTATATTGTAGAAAAATATTTTCTAAACAGAAAGGAGAAATAAATTTATGCGTTTTTTTTTATCAATTGAAATGTACCACTCGTAAGTTCCCTTTTTAAGGGCTGTTACAATTTCAACTCTTATTTCCTTGTTAAATGGACAACATAACGAAAATGCGTTCATGTTTGACAAAAGACCCAAACATCTGAAAATAAAGTAACAAAATATATTTGTAAATACAAATCTAATTGTTATAAGATAAAAAAATGATTCTCTTGTTCATCAAGTGTATTAAATAAATTATTGAAAATTTACCTAAGTAAATTTTCGAGTTTGGAGATCGATAATCGATGCAATGGTGGATATAACGTACGATGTTGTTGAATTTTTTTCAATGATACTTCTATAAAATCATTGAAAGAATCTGCCAAAGATTGTTCTTCGTCTCGCGATGAAGTTTCCGTTTTTTTCAAATGCCATAAACTATCCATTTCCTGAGAAATCATTTAATACAAAAATCAAATTAACTAAGCTCAACATTTTTCGTTAAAATATGAATATAATGAACAATTTGAAATGTTAACCTGAAGAAGACGATGTAAAACTTTCATATCGACACCTGGATGTTTTGAACTTGCTATCCATTTGATCATTGCTTGTTGCAATTCTGTGACGTCACCTTGCACTGCGTGTTGATGAAGAATTGTCAGTGCAGTTAATGGTAATTCACCTGTGAAGTTTTCCTACAAAAAAAAGAAAAAAACAATATAAAGTTCGTATAAAAACGTGATTATGTAAACAATTTATGTAAGTTGATTGAAATGTTTTGTAAAAATTCATTGAATACCCCTTGTTTGTTCATTTCGTGATCAAGGAACACGGTATAAAGTCTTTCCTGTTGTCTAAGTTCAGCCCAATTATCTTCTTCGGATGTTCCTCTATCTTCCCTTGTTGATAACCACAACTTTAATTTAATTCTACCTTGTATGTTGCTCCTTTGCGTTCTTGCTTCGAGTCTATACCAACTTTCCAATCCCGTGCTTGGAATATCCTAAAATATTTCAAAGAAAATACAAAAAATAATATTTGTTTTTTATTATTTAATTCAAATAATTTTCTAATTAATTATAAATAAATAAAAATATTATACCTGAAGTGGAATATTGACGCAACCTAAGAAATCATCTTGACTACCGGAACGTGCACTTTGTGCTATTTGTTTGAAAAATCTTCCAAGACCTTTAACACCTCGTACCTCGTTCAATTTACTTACGGCGTCGAATACCGAAGATTCGTCGTCGTGGTCCCTACCAAATGAACGAATTTTTTTTAATATCGTGATAATTCGTGTACATTTTAAGTAGGTGAAACCTACTTACGAAGACATACCATATATCGAGATGCAAGATATCCGTGCTGATATCATCGATGTCACTGGAATAAAATTATATTAAAAACGATTTTCAAAAATTCATTTGTTTACCTGGAAAATTGTTTATTTTAATCATACTTTAATCAATCAATAATAAAATGTATTTCAATATTTAACAAAAAGTTGAATACTTTATCGACAAATTGTAACAAAATTAAAATTAAAATTAAAATTGAAATATGAAATAAATAAAAATAAAAATCTAGAGATAATTTTTTACAAGCGAAATTTTTCTCTCCATTGAGGACTGAGTGTGTGCGGTTTCACTGTGGTAGCACGAATAAATTTGGCAGGAACCGCTCCGCTAAAAGATTCTCGATGTTCTCGTCTGCTGGTATGCTCTTTACGTTTGAATGATAATCTGAAACTGACATTCAATAAACATTTCGTCAATTTAATATCAGAATACTTTTATTTTCTTTTTTTTCGAACAACTTATCTCGATTAAATCGAGATATAAATTATTATTTTTCTCACAAAATATTTGACTGTTGTTTCACCATATTTTCGACGTCAGCAGGTATGAACCCTTATCGGTCGTATTTCACCTGACTTATAAATAAATGTATATTATTAATAATTCAATAATTAGTAATTTCATATGTTTGTAGTACTCCTTCAAAACAAAACAAAATCATTTCTAATAAATAATAAATTATTCTTATAATATTGAACAATTTTTTTACACATTTATCGAAACCACTTAAAACTTATAATTAATGAAAATTAACAATTTAAAAACCTGACGACCGATAAGGGTTAAATTATAAGATAACAAATAAAAAGAATTATTAGAAATTCACGATAGTGGGGTGACAGGTAAAAAATGTTTCAACAAAAAATTTAAACGATGACTATGTTCTATCAAACACTCTATGTTCACTCAGCACGGTATATTAATCGTGCTACTCTTTCTTTTTCTCTCTCTTTCTCTCTCTTTCTAATAACAGATGGCGTAGCTAGAAGAAGGGAGAATCATAGTACTACATGTGTGTGTGTATGTGTGTTAGTGCTTTCGTTTGCTATACTTCAAGCTAACGTGTAAAGTAAGAACAGAAGTTGTTACATCCGGTGAACCTTTTGTTATCATACGTCGCATTGTCCCTTCGTCAAGTGAGTTTGTTCGAGATAAATATTCGCGCTTTGTACCAAGTTCGATGATGTTACATGAAGCCGTCTTTCGTGGATTAGATATTTTAAACATGAATAGTCCTAGAAATATCCTATTAACGGTCCCACTTTTCTACGTTGCATTATAATGTATAAGTGATGGTAATTATGACAGTTGAACAAACAATAAGTCAAATAGAAATAATTATATTTATTTTATTTATATTATATTATAATATCTTTCATATTTTTTAGTTTTTCTTTTTGTCCTAATCCATACTGTTATAATTATTGTCACATATATGTGGGTATGTAAATATTTATTGCATAGATTAAAAATTCGATTAGAAAAATATTATCCGTGCTAATGTGATTAGTTTTTTTTTCTTTGATTTATTTACATCGATCTTACCTATGATGTTTTCGAAGCTTTTCGTGATGGGAATTATCGTTTTCACCACCATCGGATAATGCACGAGCCGCTTGTCTCGGTGAAGCTGGAGGTGTGTGAGGAGAATGAGCCGATAAATTTGTTTGTGGGCTCAGTGGTGCGCTCGTATTGCCAGGTTGTATGCCCAACATACAGTATGGATCACTGTAACCTATCGTAACGAAACGTACAAAGAATACAACGTATATAACCATACTCTTTTTCTAAGAGTCATTCATTATTAAATAGTATAGTTATATTAATTTACCGTTAGCGTCTTTAGCTTCTAATCCTTCAGCTTCGATAACTATTACACTTAGAACCACTATAGGGGGCTAGAATTTGTACGAGAAAAATGATTTTCTTATTTTTTGTTTTAAGAATTTGAATTCTTTGAATTTATATTCATTAATAATTTGAATAATCCTTAAATATTATATTCTCATTTTATTTCTAATAGATCTTTTTTTTCTTTTTCACTAATAAAAATAAAGAAAATTTGAAATAAAAATTGTATGAGGTAAGAAAAGTATACAGTTAACTTTCACAAAAGGATACAAAGGAAACTAACATAAAACAAAAATGAAAGGTAGGTTGATTTGAAAAGCCAACCTTCTCTTTCGAAGCAATATCAAGGTATCGTCGATGTTGATCCTGCGGTATACCAAACGCTTCCTGAGCGTAACCATAAAGGTCTTCTTTATAGTGTGCGTACTGACCCGTACTTGCTCCCACAGTATTCGCGATCGTATACAAAACTTCGACGTATAATTTTTCGATCTGAACAAAAGAAACATACCACGTAAAGTTTTTTTAGAAAAAAAGAAAAAGGAAAGAAAATAAAGAAATGTTTTCTCGCGATAAAACCTCTTCTTTGTTGATTCGACGAGAAAGATAAGAATTTATATTGACATCTCCGGAAGATGGTGGTGCATCCTTGGCACGAGCTTCAACTTCTTGAAGTGCCACCAGTCTACGATTTTCTTGTCTCCACGATAAAGCAGTGAAACTCTCGAAAAATGAGCCATCTGTTTCTTGAACACTGAAAACAACAAAATTGTAAATTATTATATAACACATATTTTCATTTCATACCTTAATTATACTCATCTTTTATAATTTCATATAATACCTAATTCAAGTACGTATAATTCTTCTTTTATTATATTTACAGTGAAATATAATTATTTCAAGATTTAACAAATTAACGGATTTGACAAAGTAATCCTAACGCATATAATATAATTCGTTATCGTTTAAAACAAAAATAAATCCACACTCGACATTATATTTCCATAGCGGGAATGTCTCCGCGCACCTTGCGTCAAACATACGCCCTAATGCACTAATTTATTCCAAGCACCGATACCTCAATATATACATCGTATAACAGTCTTGTTATTAATAGACAACAACTCTCTCCCTTTTGTATATACTCGTATATATATATATAACACATTATAAGACCATGGACTGTATATTTGTTCTTTTAAAAGCAAAATACCCACGTGATTCTTCGTGCATTAAATTTGTCGAGGATTAAGAAGACTCCTGTAGCTATACTTAAAATAGGAAAACGGAAAGCGTCATTATTTCTGAATTTTTTTCTTTTTTTTTCTTTTTTTTTCTTTTTTTTTTGCTTTTTTTCTTTTTTTTTGCTTTTTTTTCTTTTTTTTTTTTTTTTTGCTTTCTTTCTTTCTTACTCAACGACCAAATTATTTACGCAATCATAAACACGATAAACGTTTGCTCTCTTCTAACGAGAACTTAGCACGTAATTTTTATTTTATTTTTTTTTTTTTAACACGTTCTATAATTTGCACGTAATATATTACTATAAAATGATATACGATTTTATATTACAAACAAAACACATAATTCAAAGATCATAATTATCAAAGAAAAGATTTAAAATAATAATTTTTTTCATGTTTATATCATTGAAAATTGGATTTAATTTGATTAAATTCATTTTAAATAATTAACTCAATGTTACGTAATATTGTATCGATCATGCTTAATCTATATCAAATAATAATTTATTAGATAAAATGAAATAATCTAAAGTTAAGCTTTAAAGTGTATATAAATCTTGGAAATTGCAATTAGTATTATACAATTATTATGTGATTCTCGATATGAATGGCATTGAACAGAAAAAAAAAGAAAATGATTTTTAAAATCGAAGGACACCATCAGGGAATGGATGAATTATAAAAAAAGAAAAAGAAAAGAAGAAGGGTGAGAGAAAGAGGGAGAAAGAAAGAAGAAAAAAAGTAGATAAGAATCTCTTGGAAAGAATTGTCCAATCGTGCATTTATTTCTGTCATGTTCATAGATATACACAATACTATATTCCCCGAAGTAAATAAGAAGAATATCGATGCGACCTCGGCAGGCATTCTTTTGGTATTTCAAATCCGAATCGATTTTTCATTTCGATTATACATATATATTTTATTAGGATGCTCGTTGATTTAATATGATTTTAAACTATTTAATGCGGACAAACAATATCAAATTTGTAATATACGTAGGTTGGAACTTAAATAGTGGTAACTATTTATTCACAACCGATACAAAAGAGTTACATGTTTGCACCTGTTACTGTCCTTTAAAGTAGTCACCAGCGTTGTGTAGAACCCGTTGCCAGCGATTTAGAAGGCTTAGTATACTGTTAGCAGAGCCTGCTCTGTTGATGGTGCGAATGGAGCAGTTTACTGCCTGTCGAATCTCTGGAACAGTTCTGAAGCGAATGCCACGATGGGTTCCGCATGAATTGACGGAAATGCAGAAATGGATGCGTTACGATGCTGCTCAGATGCACTTGGAGCGCTATGAGCGCGAATGAGAGGCTTTCTTAGGCCGTATCGTAACACTGGATGAGACATAGCAGTAGCCCGCTTCATTCGCACCATCAACAGAACAGGCTCGCTGACGGTATACTACGCCTTTCACATCGCTGACAACGGGTTCTACACAACGCTGGTGACTACTTTAAAGGACAGTAACAGGAGCAGACATATAACTCTTTTGTATCGGTTGTGAATAAATAGTTGCCACTATTTAAGTTTCAACCTACATATATATAATATATAAAAATTCAGTATTCAGTATAAAGAAGATACGAGTATATTAGCTACGTAGTCAGATTCTGTCTCTCAGTTGCATTACTTGCTTTTGATAGAAACGTATATTTATAGAATAGACGACTAAACTTCTAATAATCGTTCCTTCTTTTTAATATTTTTCTTTGATTTCTCTTTCTCAATATCTGTTTTGAATGCATTCGTAAATATCTTTATTTTCTTTTAAACCCTTTTATAAAATATTGATTCAATACAATACCGGATTATTGAAATTAAAAGTAATACGAATTTTTAATTGTAATTTTTTAATAGAAACAAAAAATAAACGAACGCGTTTCCGCTTCATCGCATTTAACTAATAAATAAATAATTAAACAAACAAACATTTGAACCGTCTACGGGTCAAAGCAATTACTTAACTCCGCATTTTACAATTTTTTGCACGTTTAATTGATACGTAATTTTTTGATTTCAAATAAATTTGTTATAATAAAAAATATTTGCTATAATAAACAAAACTTACGTGTTTAATAATTAATTGTATTATTTTATTTCTATAATAATTTTTTTGGTTTTTTGTTTTGTTTTTTACCTCGATCGATATTTGACTAATGAGAAATTTACTTTTTAATTGGAAATAAATCTTACAACGTCGTAAATATAATCTTTGTTCGTGTGTACGCCATTATCGTGTAGAAAGATCTCTCTCGGATATTTTCTTACCAATTTATTACTTATAAATAGTGATTAGAAATCGGAGAATGAAATAGATATTGAGTTTGTTCGTAATATAGATCGATAATTGTATGTAACTCGATTTCTTAGAAATAGTCGGTGGTGGTGGTGTCGAATTACAAGGAATCTCGTATATTTTCAGAGTTCATTCATGCCAGACGCGTCTCGATGGCAGTTAAATTCATTATCCTAGACATTTGTTCATTTCCTATCCAGACAAATCTTACCCGATCGTCGCCTCAATGTCTATTGGATCATATTCTACTGAATTAAACTTGTTTCTCCTGATTGCCCACTAACATGTATATATGTACAAAGAATTGATTAGTTTCTTTTTCATTTTATTCCCATACTGATTTTTACTCAAAGAAAATTCCAATAGATATTCTATGCTGGTAAGAATAAACTTGCATATCTGTGAAATCATTTTTTAAATTATTCGTGTAATGAAAAATTGTTTAATACAAAAGTAGTTACTTTCAAAGGATCCAAATGATGGTCCAATCAGTTTTTATTGTATGCAAGGAAATTTAACAATTTATTAAATCAATTTTGTTTCTTTTAATGGAATTATATATATATATATTTCTTTTTTTGTGATATTACAGATAAAAAGATCATTTGATTTTAATTAAAAATATATTTATATCTATGTTGGTTATAAATTTGATTATTATACTAAAGATATTTTACAATATCAAAATATGCAATTTTTGCATTGAACAATTTTTTCGTAAAAGGTATAATTTCCAAATTATTTAACTTGTGCAAAAATTCATCCCATATATATATAAAATACGCATGCATACATAAATATCTAAGTATGTTAAGTTCCTTTCGCTATTATTATCTAGATATACTATATCAATATTGATGATAACCTTGAAGCTTTAACAAGGTTTCTTTTGATGACATGTACTTACGATAAGAGGAAAAACAAGAGATAAAGAAAATAGGTTCATTTTTCATGTTGGTAGTGCGAAATTCCTATCTCGTTGCCATTTCGTATATTCCCATTTGCAACAGGTGCTTCTCCGTGGGACGATAACCTTTGACCATCCTTCATCATGAATAAAAAAGTATCTAACAAGCACGTATTATCTCTCTTTCTCTTTCTCTCTCTCTCTCTCTCTCTTTCTCTCTCTCTCTCTCTCTCTCTCTCACTTTCTCACTCCCTCTCTTTCTGACGTAAAAATGTATACATATATAGATATAGGAATCAACTTTGATTATATTCTCGAAATGTTTCCTAACTATTGAATTATATCACGACACGAGCTAATATTTTATTCAACATTTCAATTTTATCAAATAAAAAAAAGTAAAAAATATATTTCATTTGAAATAGAATATCTCGAAATATTTAATTTCGATTATACAAATATTTCTCAATCGAATTTTTATTATTTCAGTATATTTATTTAATTAGAAGTTTTTTTTCTAACAAAATAAAACAATGATAAATAATATTACGCTATGTTACTTATTTAATCGTACGAAAAATGTGTGAATTTCTTCAAAATGATTTTTTCGAAACTTTTTTTTTTATTTACATTTGAGAATCCGGTTAAAAATAAAACGTTACTCGTATTTATTAAGTGTAATGGAAACTTTTCAAACCCTTACAATTTCATTGCTGTGATCTTACTATGGATTCTTAATTAAAATCTTAAATTAATTTAAATCCCAGGCCAAAGTAAACAATTTAAATGACGTTGATCGTGTCATTGATTAAATATAGTTCTTTTTTTTTTTGTTTTGTTTTATTATTGAGTTACTTTGTAAGCTAGTTCCTGAGAAGTTTCTTGATAAAAAAAAAAAAATTGAAAAAGTAATAAAAACTTTCCGATGCATCGAAATAAAAATGTTCAAAGAGGTTGAATGACTTAAACTTACCCAGAAGTAGCTTGTATGTCAAATTCTGGCCAGGATGGTCTACGACGACAAAACATGAGTGGTGGTCTATCTGAACTCGTTCCAGCGGTACTTCGACGAAAGGAACCAACTCTTCGAGGTGAAGGGGAATTTCCAGAACTTTGACCGCAAACAGAACCACAAACCAAACCATCATTCGCAGCGGCTGCTGCTGCTGCTGCTGCTGCTTGTGCAGGATGAACGCTCAATCCCGACGGAACCGAACTGTCAAGAGTACGTCTTCTTGAAAGTGAACGAACTTGTGAGGATGTAGAAAGTGTCGTTCCTGGCGGTGGTACCACCTAAAACAAGGAACATATCGTGAAGAATTTACACATATTTCGACATTTTGTTAATGTTTATATTTTTTTTTTATTTATGTGAAATATCTCGTGAGAATTATTAGCTGATGGAATACATTTTATTACGATTTTTTTCTTTTTCATATGAAAAGAGGAAGTCGAATTTATTTTCTTTCTTTTTTTTTTTTGTCAGTAAAACCATATATTTATCTTTTCAGAGTAGTAAGTTGGTATTTCTTGAGATGAATTCAACGGCGTGTTATATGAGGTCATTTATTATATAAGGAAATGTGCTAAATTTGTAAGTTCGTAAGAAGAGTAAGCACATGCTCTCTAGTTGCCTGTAAAACAGGATGCTGAAATATATAACTGTGTAAAACTTGAACTTATCAGAAAAGTATCTTGTATAGGTACCAAGGGAATACAATGAAGAGTTGATTGATGTCTACTATTATAAATAATGTTATTATTTTGTAAGTTTTGAAAAAGATTAATCCAGTATTCTCTAGTCGCTTGCCATTAAATTGCATACTAAAATATATCAAAATAAAAGGTGAATGTTAAGTAATTTGATCGATGCAAATAAAAACAATAAGATATCTGATATTATTTGACATCTATAGTAGGTACCTTGGGAAAGCCATGAGGAGTCGATTGATGTGTACTCGAATTGTCATTGACGATACTTCCGCTAGAACCGCTTCTACCTGTCGTACTAGCAGAGTCCTCTCGACTGAAGGAGAATCTCTTAGGGCTGAGATTGAAGCTCGCCACACTGTCGCTCACGTATTGCTGGAGAGAATTGAAGAAGCTCATTTTCAAGATTTCTTTCCTTCTCTTACTCTTCTTCACTTCCTCTCTCTTTCTCTCTCTCTCTCTCTCTCTCTCTCTCTCTCTCTCTCTCTCTCACTTGATCTTGTCACAATCTTTGATAATTTTCAAGCGACAATAATCATTTCGATCGTTATTTTCGATCGATCATTCTCCGATCATTAAACAAATTTTTTTTACGAATATCCTGGTGAATTACAAGAACACGAATGACGAGACAACGACGGCGACGACGACGACGACGACGACGATGACGGCGATAATAATAATGATGATGATAATGATATTGATTTAATCCAAAATCCATCAACACTTTTTTCACTTTCCGTTCTTCTTCGTCGACATTGAAGCTTCATTTGAGTTGTATCCTTTTCTTTAGAAAAGATCATCTTTCCGAGTAATGGTAAATCATTGAGGCTTGTCTGTAAATTAAAATAATACTGAATGTCATCAAAGTCTTTTTTTTTTTTGTATTTTATGTAAAAACTGTGCAAGTTGATGTATCATTTTTATCTAAGCACGACAATAGACAAAAATCACTAAACCATTGAAAAGGGAACTGAATTGAATGCAGGAAGAAGAGGTGTCTATCTGCTACCGGGAAAATTAAACTAGGCAAGAATAACGTGAACGTTATCGTTGCGGTTTTCCGTTCTTCTTGAAAACGTATTACGTGTACAAATGGAAATGCAAATGAAAAGAAGAAATGAGATCTTTTTCCCTTGAATGGTTAAATTACAATTTCAAATGGTTACTGTAGTATTGACATTTTTTTTTCTTCTTTTTTTTCCTTCACTTCTGGATGAATCTCAATTAATCTATTATTATTTATTTTTTTATTTTATTAGTTAAATTTTTGTTTTTAATTTTACCATCGCGATAAAACTTCCTTTTATTTTTTAACAATTATTGAATACAAACACGTATAAAAATAAAAAGAGGTAAAAGATCTTTCTCATATTTGTTAAGTGTTTTTATTGATTTATTTTATAGTTAAATTTTATTAAATTACAGCGTTAAAATTTGAATTTTCATTATTTATTATTATACTATATAAATAGTTAAAATAGAGTTTATCCTTTGGGAAAACAATGAACTATTATAAATGAAATAAATACTGAACGATTTGTAATAGTTAAAATAGTTTATCCTTTGGGAGAACAATGAACTATGTTATTATGAATGAAATAAACAATGAATTATTTATAATAGTTAAAATAATTGATCCCTTGGGAAAGCAAAATGAAAATAATCATATTTATATAGTTGAATATCAAGAGCAATCGCATGTTTAACATCTGACCCTGAAACGTGTTGTGTTACCTTGTTCGTATCAAGATCTTTGGGTTAAGCTTTTCTATGTCCGTCGAGGATTGCACTCAAGTTGGTGAGAACGTTGATGAGAACGTTGATGAGAACGTTGGTGAGAACGTTGTTGTCTCAAAAGCAAGATCATTCGATATGCGCATTACTTATTGACCGTACAACTAAACAAAAGACGTTACATCGTGAAATCGATTATCATCGAAATTCACGATTGCCTCGTTGACACACTTTTCCTGCTCCTACACTAATATAAAAGCCACCCCCGTTCCTTTGATTCTTTGAAACAATCATTTCAACGACTCCGACTTTGATTATGTTTCTGTTATGATTTTCTAAGAATGACACAATGAAAGATATACTATGTGATGTAGAAAATACCTTTCAAATATTACGATGATAACATTTAGAATTGAAAACAAATTGAATCAATCACACGGACATTGATTTCGATTTTATGCAATTTTCAACGCTCCAATGACCAATTGTTTTTATTACGATAATTAGGTGCAAATTTAATTTTCTATTTAAATTGAAGTTATAGACAAAGAAATATAATAACACGCGCGTGTGTCTCGTGTGTAATTGGTTTACACAAATTATTTGTTTAAGCTATTATTTTCAAGTTTATAGAGAAGAACGTGTACGATATACGGTACGATATACGGTACGATATACGGTACGATATACGGGAAAATATCTCTTGGTGAAATTCATGGAGTTGTCTGTTCGCGTTGGTAGGATAACAACGAATTCCAGAATAAAATTGATATCAATCTATAATATTTTATCGGATACGCCCTTATCGTCACTTTACAGAACAGGCATCGATTTAACGCACCGATAAATTTCTCGACCATGTAAATATCGATAGCACACTTTCTATCGTTCTTCTCGTTTCGGATTTTCTATTAAAAAAAAATTAAATAAAATAATAGCTTGTCACGTTTATACAGGACGATACACAAATAAATTTGACCACGTTATTATTATTTATTATTTATAGTATAAACCGTCAAAACAAATTGTGTCATTTGTTAATATAGGAAGATTCAACGAAACTTATTTTCTTCCTTTCTTTTCTTTTTTTATATTTCAAAAGATTAATTAATTTTATTTCCGACATATTTCAATGAGAAAATAAAATTATACAAAATATTGGAAAAAGTTAGTCAACTTTACATTAAAAAGTTTCTTTATTAAGTATGTATTATATATAACATATATATCTCTACTCATTAGGAAAAATAAAATACTCGAGGATAAATATTTAGCGTGAAAATGATTCCTTTCAAAGCCATGAAACGTTTACTTTATGACTCGTTTAACACAATAACAAACTAATCTCACAAACTTGTCGCGAATAAGTTGTGTTCAAAATTATCAATTGTTTATAAAATCATACTAAGTAAACGTAACACTAATTGTAGTCGCAATTTAATGTGCAATAAAATTAACGTCAGTTTTTTTTTTTTTTTTAATGTCTTTTAACGAATAAACTTAAACTCATAGATACATACCTAATTATATTTACTCATACATGCATGCATTGTTTCAAATGTTCATAATAATATTATTATGTTTCTTGTAACTATGATTCGTAAATAATGTAAAATATTTGTCCTCCTTCTTTTTAACTTTGTTTTTTGTTTCTTTCTACATTTTTAGTTTCTTCTTTACCTTTTTTTATTTCTTTTTTTTTTTTTTTTGTAAATTTCTCGAACATCAAGATAATGTCATTTATTTTTCGTTTTTTATTTCTTTTTTTTTCGAATAATAATAAAAGTTAAGAAAAGAACGATGAAGAAGTGGTGTGGTGTCTTTCGATCGGCAAGGAAAATCGATAAAGAACCATTGACTAACCAACCACTCCATCACGTGGATGTACACTAGTACTACCTACGTTTACTTTACCATCTTCATGACCCTTAGCGATTTTCTAACATTGGATCCTCGTAGCTTCCTTCTATATAGTACTTTCTTATATAGTTGATCTTAAATCGTAATAAAAGATCAATAACAAGACAATCTGAGAGCACTCGGTGTTATACGTAAGTTTGTGTGTTCTTGATCGTCAAATGAACAAATAAAATGACAAAGAAAAATAAAAATAGAAATAATATTAGACAATTATTTAATCTAATTGATAGAAACTATTTTTTGTTTCATTACATATATATATATATATATACTTTATATATTTTTGTTATATTCAAAGTTCTATAAAACTTGTTTAAAATACTGAAAAAAATATGATTATAGAAAAAAAAATAATAAAAAAAAAAAAATAAAGCAAGTTATTTTTATCAGGCGTTTTTAATTCGTTCGTTTGATAGCATCTAAAAAGTTATATAGGAAAAATATTTTCTTCATTTCTTCGCAATCGAAAGAATTATTTAGCTATCTATTTTTAGATGAGTGACCCCGTATATAGAAGTGTCCTATTCCTAAACTCGTATAACGTGAGCGCACGTACTCCTAAACACGTTTCTCTTAGAATAAGTAAGTGTTTGAGTTTAGTTCTATCGATTGGTGTAATAAATTTTCGTTACATTCGCCAAGAGTAAGAATTAGTTTTTTTCTTTTTCCCTAAATAACTCTAGCCAAGCATAGTGTAGAAAACTAATAGATATAGAAAAGAAATTTTAAAGGAAAAAAATATTTTGAATGGAAAGTGAGACGACACTTTTGACACAAAACACGAAAACTTGCTGAGATTCATCCTATCGATAAGTTTGACTACTAACTCTATCCACTAATATTCGTTCTAGAAACAGGAAGGAAAAGCAAAATAAAAGAATAATAATAATAATAATAATAAAAAATAAAAAAAATAAAACACGACAGGGTGACGTCGAACATGCCAAGTCGCGTGTCCCCCTTTTCAGAAATAGCCAATAAGCGCTAGTAATTAGCAAGTATATTACGTTTCGAAGGTACACGAACCCTGCAATTAAATTTTTCTTTTTCTTTCGTGAGATTGTAGCAGTGAAAAAAAGAGAAGAAAAAAAACACATTAGAAAAGAAAAATGAGATTCGGAAAAAAAGAACGTACGTTTGCGTTTACCAAACGTCAAAGTCCACCACCGTGCATAAAATTGCTAAAAAGAACAAAAACTCAATTATTTTTTAAATCTTTTATAGATTGTGAAGATAATAAAATTATTTTATTTTATTTTATTTTGTTTTTTCGTTTTTCAACAAAATGTCAATTAATCTCGGTGATGCAACAATGTGCGTACTTTTGTAAAAACTCGTTTTAACAAATTTTACTCTGTAATATTTTGCATTTTAAAGGTCATGCCATTGTTTCAACTATAACATTAGTTTTGCAACATTTTGAAAACATTTTCAAGACCGATGATATTTACCATATAAATTAATATAATTTAAGGAAATTTATTCATTTGATCTTTCGAATTTAATCAGAACGAAATATTCTTATAAGAAACTTGCTATACATTTTTATTATTATTATTATTATTATTTCAGTTGCAAGAGTAATCGTCAAACGTTAAAAAAAAATCTTATAGCGTTTCTTTAACATATTATATACTAAAAAAAAAAAAAGAAATAAAATAACATTATCCAAATAATAAAAGAAAAATAAATAATATATTTGAAACATTCTAATTTTGGTATTGTTTAGTTTTGGAATCCACGTCATTATCGAGTGGTGCTCTCGTTTCATTTCGTATACATAATATTTCAATGTATCTGCCAATAATCATGAAAAGAAGGTGAAACAAAATCAAAATGAAAGAAATGCAGATGAACTGTTAAGCTTTCTTTAGAAAAAAGATTATCGGTGCTTTTAACGAATCCTTTTCATAACTCGAAAATTCGATAATTATTAAACGAATGGAAAAGTATTTTTTTTTCGTTGATATCCTCATGTTGATATATCATACGAAGTTTTTTCCCGAGTGTTTTATTTTTTTTATCCTCTCTCCCTCCCATCCTCTTCTTTTCTTTATATCTTTTTCTCTTTTTTTTTTTTTTCGTAATTTCCCTTTTATTTTTTCATCGGGCAAAAGATCGACAGCTAATCATCCTATCGCAAAATAAAAAGTAGAACGTAGTCACGCGAGGTTGTTGGGAAACACACACGCGTCAAAAATGATCGATATTTACAAAGCTATGTATACGCAAAAGTTAATGTTTTTCTTTATTTCTTTTTTTTTTATAAACGAATGTTTTATTATACGCATATGAGATGGAAATACATTGTTAAAACTATATCTATCACGGTCCTGTGTACAATTATTTTGACCAATAAATTGGCACAACTAGTAAGTACGCCATTATTATTAAGGTCAAGCAAACTGTCTATTACATTATTTGACAATATTTAACTAGAAAAGAAAAAAAATATAAAAAATCATCGAATTTCATTGTAGAAAAAGTTTGTTAACGATTCGAGAAAGATAATAATAAAGTACTATATACGCTTAAACCTGTTGAGCGAAGTTTATCGATACGATATCGATAACACGTTTACGTTTCGTTACTTTACGTTACGTGCTTGTTAGTATTTATATACTACATATATATATACGAGATATATCCCGATTTGTTGGAAGAAACATTTGTATCGTTAGATCGAAATTAATTGTGTCGCACGATTTTGTTTATTTGCTCGTGCATCCCTCCCGCAGTTGAAATTGAAAAATTATTTTGCAAAAAATTATTACGTCGATTGATACGAACAAATATTTTACCCCGACGAACGTTTATCTTCGATATTTTTTCTTTCTTTTTTTTTTTTATTTTATTCATCGCCATCACCCTTCCCCCTTCCCCTAAGCCTCGCCCTCTTTTTTGTTTTTTTACTTTTCTTTATCTTTCTTTTTTTAGTTGCTTGCTGCTTCCGTTACTCCGTAGGTGAATTTTTTTCGTCCCAATAAATCTTTCATTTGCATCGGTTTCGTGAGGGAGAAAAGGCGTATCGTATCGATATTGGAATACGGGTGGTCCATAGTAGTAGCTTTAATGCAAAGGGTGCCTTTGGCGTTTGCAAAATCGACAATCGATTTTACGGATCTAGGAATTGCATCGACGACGACGACGACGACGACGACGACGATGACGACAGCCATCATCTGTCTATTCAATTTTGTTTTTTTTTATTTTTTTTATTCTCTCTTTTACCCTCGTGTACGATGAGAAACAAACTTTAAATTTAGAAATGACAGATCATTCTCTTCGTTTTGTTATTTTTTTATTTGTTTGTTTGTTTGTTTGTTTGTTTATTTGTTAGGACAATTAATCAACATTAAAAAAGAACAATTTGATAATTTTATTATTAAGCGAAGGAAGTATAAATTGGATTAGCAATAAATGAATGAATAAATAAAAAAATAAATAAATATAATTAATTATAGAGTAAGTAAACTAATGAATATAATTTTGTAAGTAGCTTAATGAAATTTAAACGACATAAAAGAATCGGTCGACCCTTTTGTAATGGGATAGCAGTGTTGGCATGGTCTTACGGAAATTTCAATTAGTGTATCCTACTCGAAAGCTGCCATTTCAATCGAATTAGTACAATCTAAGCACATTTTACGCATTTTAAATCAAGCTTTTTATTTCCCCGAAAGTAAAAAAAAAGAAAATAAAAACAAAATACGCTCATTTGCTATTTAAAAGAAAAAAAACGACAAAGTACACGTACACAAATGCACACGCGAGCGCACTTCCACGCATAATAATTAATAATCACCGTAGTAATAATTCTATATATTTCAAAACTCTGATTTTGCATCGTTAAAGTGAAAAAAAAGGTTAAAACGTTGCAACAAAAAGAACCGTGGCACGAGCCACAAAGACTCGAACGATTTGACGAGATAACAAAGAAAAAAAAATAAATAAATAAAAAAACAAACGAAGTTTTCAGTGAAGATGTAAAAAAGAAAGAGAAGAAAAAATTTGCAATAGTTGGGGGTTACTCACCAAAGAAGAATGTGAGTTAGCGGTCGAATGATGATCCTACGATAAAATTGGATATGTCCCAACAGAGAAAGAGAAAGAGAGAAGGCTAAGATCTGTTGGATACACGAGGGGGGTTGGTAGGTATCCTAAGAAAGAGGGATACTACCCTGTCGCGCGTTTCCGTGCGAGAAAACGTGCACGTCGACGCAAGCAGCGAAAAGGAAACTGGAAGGTACGAGCATACGAAGCGCGCGTGTGTGCTCCCAATTTACGAATCCAGCCACTTGTAGCGCCGCCGCCGTCACCACCGCCGTCACCACCGCCGTCACCACCGCCTCCACCGCACCTAGTCACCCCTATTGCCGGTAAACAGGTGAGAAAGAGAGAGTAAGACAATACGAAAGAGAGGGATAACGAGAGAGTCAGAGACAGACGCGCCTATACCCTTCAAGAGGGTTCGTCCCTTTTCTTCCTTATCAGCCATTCTTATCATCTTCCTTTTTGCCTAACTATTCTTTTACTTCAATCTGTCTATTTTCTCTTTTATTTTTTTTTTTATATCATTCTAAAAGAAAAAATATTGTCATGATTTTTGAAAGAGTCCTACGAAGCTACAACCATCACCACCACCAGCAGCACCGATTTTCTACTTTTCTTTTCAACCTACCTCCCAAGCACCCGCTTTACCTCTCAGGCATAGTAGTAGGGTGGTCTACCTCCCCTGCAGGCAAGCTACACCAAGCAACTCAACGAAATCGGAGGTACACTTGCGTGCGCATCCGTCCATCGATCTATTTTAGCTCACCTACGCTCCTGCCAGCCCTGCTCTCGCACTTTCCTGGCCCTCCACCACCCTCCTCCTCCTCCTCCTCCTCCTCCTCCTCCTCCTGACCCCTACATTTACTTCTACCCCTGACACTGCCGCTAACCCTGCCCCTGTCCCTACCCCTGTCCCTACCCCTGTCCCTACCCCTGTCCTGTTCTGTTCTGTTCCGTTCTGTCCTTGCCATCTCACCTCTTTTCGTTAAACCCTGTTTCTCCCAACTAAATCTTAATTGAGTCATCTTACAAAATACAATAATATTTTATTTATTTCTTTTTCTTTTTTTCATTTCATTTTTTTACTTGTTTTTTTTATCTCTGTAAAAAGGTAAACAAAAGACACAATTAAGTTTTTATTCTTCAATTAAATTAAAATTAATTAGAAACTTTTTTTAATTGGTGTGTAATATAATCACTGTTACCAAATTTTCATTGATGTTCTTTTAGAAACATTTAATTTATCTCTTTCTCTTTTGTAAAAGTGAAGTAATTTGAAACCTATCGTTAGATATACATTTTTCAAAATATCTCTAATTAAGAACAAAATTCGAAAATAAAAACATGAAAGTTATCGAATTATTTGTTTCGTTTTTTGTTTTTGTGTGTAAATCATTAGAATGTTTATGACAAGTGTATAAAAAAATGATAAATGGTGTAGTAGAGAAAGTACTTGAAAATCGTAGTAGAGAGAGAGAGAGAGAGTATGGAAAGATACTGAATGGAAAGTACTACGTTCTATTTAATGACAACAATTATAACTTAGGAGAAAGATGAAAGCGACAATTATCATGCTCGAAAAAATAAATACAATACGTTTTTAAACTCTCACGCTTTTATTTTCAATTAAATCACGACGCTTTACTTTCTCTGGTAATTTTTTGTTCCTTTTGGTCTAATCGTTTTACACCTTTGTATGCAGAGCGTGTAAATCATTTTTCTTCGAAGTATTTATATTTAATTTCGCGTCTTGGAGATTCCAGTCTTTAGTATAATATCTGTAACACTCGGTGTAACTTCTTCGAGTATTAACAAATTGAACAGTCAAGTATTCTAATCTTATAATTATCGAAATGTTTCTCAAAGGATATTTACATTTATTTCTAATGAATTTGATCGTATCGAGTATCGAAATTAATGCTTGGAACATATGGAAAATGCATAAGTTTCCACAAGTACGACGTTTTTGGCAAACTAACGAAAATCGATCTCGAGAATCTTACGATCAGCAGACGCACGCGCTTCAAAATATTAAATCGGCACAAAGTTTAAGAGAAAAACGACGTAAGTTTATCATTAAACAAAACAAAAATACAAATACAAATAATAATAATAAAATTGATCTTTAGTTTTTCCATTGTTCACCGTGGTCAAATTTGATAATAACGTTTGTGCTGGTTCCAACGGAGAAAATGGTACTTGCATATCAGCTACGGAATGTTCACAACGTGCTGGTATATCAAGTGGAATTTGTGCCAACGGTTATGGCGTATGTTGTATCGGTAATAAATATTTATGCTTAATAATGTAGCATTTGGAATTAGCTTTTATCTTTATATGAGATTTATTGTTTTATAGTCATGGTCTCGTGCGGACAAACAATTAACGATAATAATACTTACTTTGTTAATCCGAATTATCCATCCACGTTCGATGGTACTGAGTCGTGTCAATTGACGTTATTGAAATCAAATCCGGATGTGTGCCAATTTAGGTAATTCAAAACAAAAAATATACCTTTTATTATACCTCTGTGTTATAATATGTACGATAAAGGATTGTAAATTATTGTCACAGTATTTCAAATCATTTGTTTTACATTTAAAATGGATTATCAGTATTACAATGCATGTCTAAAAACAAATATATATTTGATATTACATAATGTGCGACAATAATATCTTTTTTCTTTAGATATACTTTAATAAGATTTTTTTTTTAGATTGGATTTTGTACAATTTATGATAAGAGGACCGGAGACAACGAACAATTTGTGCACATATGACCAATTTATTGTCTCCGGTGGTAATCCAGTGCCAACTATTTGTGGAACTAATAATGGCAATCATAGTAAGATTACATTTTGTATATTTTATACAAAGTTGGGAATAAAATGAAATTTTTCATTGATCAAATACATGGATTTTCTTTTTTTTTTTTTTGTATTTTTTTTACAGTGTACATAGACGCTGGTGTAGGGCAAACTAATCCCATTACATTGACATTCGTCACGAGCGGGAATTCCTTTCCACGATCCTGGAAAGTCCGAATCTCACAGATTCGTTGTAGCACAATTTACAGAGCTGAGGAAGGGTGTTTGCAATATTTTACCGGTGTATCAGGACAAATAAAATCATTCAATTTCGATCCCACGACCGGATTGCAATTGTCCAATCAGGATTACAGTATATGTATCAGAATGGAAAAAAACTTTTGCGGTATCCAATATATGCCCTGTTCTGACGAAGGTACGACAAACACATACGTTTTTTCTTTTTTCTTTTTTTTATAATAACAATAAAATAATCCTTTTTTAAAAGTTATGAATGGGATTGAATAAAAATGAAAATATAAACAGATGTTTTTCTTTCTGCCATTTATCGAAATATTTGATAAAATGAAATTTTTTTTTTTTTATTTTAACATTTCATAATACGTCCAACAAATCTTTACTTTTGAAAATATCATGAAAATATAATAATCATTTAAAAGATACATTTGTTGTGTTTGCATTGAAAGATTATTTTGAATATAACAATAACGTATTTGTCTGGACGATTATATTGAATGGGTAATAAAAAAAAATAAAAAAAAAATAAAAGTTTCCTGTTATAAAGTTAGATTGACGAAAATAAACGATGAAAAAAATGCAATAATATGAACTTTTTAAAATTCCTCCGTGATTTTTAGCTCGTACCTTTAAACAAGGTCAGGTACATATTAACTTTGCATAAGTTTATTATTTAAATTATACGTTCTAGGAAATATGATTTAATATTCGAATTTGAATATTAATTTTATTTTTATATTATTCTTTAGGATATTAATATGTTATTTTGTAAATGAAAATTTAATACCTATAAAATATTTATAAATTTAAAAGAAAACAACAAAGTTTATGTTAAAACTTTGATAGGAAAAGATTTGTTTAATATAATCCATAATTTGAAAGTTATCTACGAAGTGCGTAGTATTAACTTGTTTTGTATACACAGATATATCTTTTTCCTATTGGTCAAATATGAAATTCGATAAGATATAAATAAATATTCCAGGTATTATGGTAACCAGTGGGCCAGGACAAATGTCTCGTAATAACGCGTTTACTTTAACGGGTAATACTCAAGGAACGCAAATAGCTTCAATGACAGGTGCCGCATGTCAAACAGACTACTTGATGATACCTTGTGCGATTAACGCAGGTAGAACTCCTTCGATGTCAATCACCTGTGTTGACAGATTGTGCGGTGGTACGTTTAATGCTGAGAGTCAAAACTTAAACTCATCTTCGGTCATTAGTAAGTGTCTTCAATATTTTTATTACATTTACGTTCAAAAAAAAAAAAAAAAAAAAATAAATTTATTTTTAGTAAATTTTTAATATATATTATACCCCCGTGGGGGAGGCGGGGAAGAATATCCCCTCAGTAATCCCTGCTTGTCGTAAGAGGCGACTAAAAGGGAAACCCAGGAAAAATGGATAGATTAAATTATTCAAATTATACATTAATAATATACAAAAATTCATTATTTTATCAATGATTAAATATTCTTGGCACGCTTCATGTATATCAAATTAGAATTTAGTTATTTAAAATAACGAAAAGAAAAACTTCTATATAATTTGTTTCTTTTTTTATTTTATTTTTTTTCAGGCACTGTTAAACCTTTCAGATTAATATTTCATACAGATGCGATAGAAGCACCGAATGATATTGGAAATAGAGGTTTTTGTTTAAATTATGTTCAACAACCGTGCACGACAAAATTAAGGTAAGGTATTTTGAGGTATATTTGAGGTATACATCCAATTGGAAAATGAAGGAATGAAATTATTGAAATCTTTAGGAGTCCACAGTTTATTTAAAGATCTTTCCAAATATCTTATAAGTTTTCTTAATCAATACTAGGACGATGTTAATCCGATTAAAAAATAGGATCTTCTTCTTTTTTTTTTTTTTGCAAGTAAACGTAATAACGCTTGCATAACAAGTACGCTTGTACATTTTTTTTCGTACTTTTTTGATTTATTTTTCTTTTTTTTTTTTCGTTGCACCTATCATCTAAAGAAATGATCAATCAGACTTCAAAATCAGCCAACCATGCGAATCTTAAATACACGTGTAACATACGACAATAGTGTATCTTTTTAGATATAATATATATTTTCACACAATAACACGTCGATATATGTGTGTATATAGAAAATTTTCTGTAACCGATGTAATACAAACGAACTAAAAGTGAGATTTTACGTGTAAACAAAATTATTCTTATAAGTCTTCGTATTTGACAATATATTATTTATTTTCTATTTTTTCATTTATTATATTTTTACACACATACTCGTCATATAAATACTTGTCTAATTTTTAAAATTATTTTTCTCCAAAATAAAATCTTTTATAAACAAATTTTGTTATTCCACATATTCAACTTGATTTTTCAACTTGAATCATCTTATTACTCGTTTGTATCATTGTATCATTAGGTACAGAACATCTTGTATATACTTAAATATATATATATATATACATAAAATATCATATAGATTAAACATTAATATTTCATTAAACAATTTTAACGAGAAATAGGGCATGAATTTGTTTTTTTTCTTTTTCTTTTTCTTTGCGTAATATCAAGATAATATATAATTCGTGTCGTTATCCTCTTATTATTAATAAAATGAATTAATATATTAATTAATGTACATTAGTATATTAAAAATTATAAACAAATCTTCCTAGCAGTCAATTAAAGTATCGTCTTACCATTTTAATTAATTAATTATGATCTTTCACTGAATCTTGCCTCGTCTTCTCTTGTTTCATCATTAAAAATAATTTCATCTATTATTAGATTAAAGCCTTAATCTTTGTTCAGTAGAAAAAATGCATTGGTTTCTATTTATTTTTATATACGTGTATATGTAATGATAGTATTACAATTATAATGATGGTATTAAAATATTTAAAATTCAAATAACATAAAAAAAATAATTATTAAATATAAACACGAAGTTTAAATCGAATAAAACGTAAGCACGTTGAAATAATTANAAAAAAAAAAAAATGTACGAACAAGTGCTATCATAAATTTCTTTTCATTGCAATATTTTTTTTTTTTTTTTTAATTATGAAGCAAATATCATAAAACGTCATTAGTCGTTTTAATGAGACGACGTGCGAGAACGTGAAGATCAATAGTTCCAATATTTTTCCATCTTTTTTATTTTGTTCTTCATTTTTCATTTTTCATTTCATTAATAATGAACAAATTAAAAGAATTTTATTTGTATTTTTCAGGAAAAATTAATATATGCCGTTATGTGTTAATTACAACGTTTAGGTATGTAACATTTTAATTGACTGTGAGGAATAAACCTAAAATTAGCAATTAACATAAACATTTACATATTCCAATCATGAATCAAATGTAAATGAAAATATGAGATGAAAATTAATACGATAGACAGCAGTCTTCATTGATTGAATTGATTATTCAATTATTAAACTTACGTTGATCCTCGTAATATCACAAATCGGTATTCAAAAGGTTATTAGAATTTGTAATGACAAATTCACGATGGTATTATGATTTTAATTGAATATATTGAAAAGTTTAACACGTCTGATCGGAATACATAAAAAAAAAACCCCCCAAAAAAATATGTTTCTTCCAAATATTTTTCGTCATTTTTTTTTTCCTTTCTTTTTTTATTTTAGCCGATCATAAGAGTCAACCTAATGTCAAATGTCAGAGTAAAAATGTTTCAAAGTACAAACGTTTTCAAACTTACTAATTAATATTAATAGTATTATTATTATTATTATTATTGTTATTATTATTATTATTATTATTATTATTATTAGTATTATTATTACTATTATTAATATTATTTTAATCTTTAACCAAGAGAAAGACCTTTTTTAATAAGCACCATATGTAACGCAATATGTTGCTGGAAAAAGATAGAAAGAGAAGGGAGAGAGAGAGAGAGAGAGAGAGAGATAGAAAGGTAGAAAAAGAAGAAAAAAAAGAAAAAGAAAGAGTTGCCAATGCTAGACCATTTTATAACATTAAGGGCCGTTACGATTTGTTTAAATATATTTGAAACGTTATTATATTTGAAGCTTTGCCATTTGAATATATTTCTTTCATTTCTAAGAAAAAACGACGCGACATTGAGATCAATTTTAATCAGCTCACACCACTACCATTTTAGTGCCATCTAAATTAATAGGCGGTTTTAATATATCCTAGAACCTTCTTGGTATCAAAGCAAAAAATTATTATTTCAAGATCAAAATTAATTGTTGATGACCAACAACTCTAAATGATATATCAATTAAATTTCAATGTAATTCAAACATTTCAATGATTGTCAATATTTTTTATAGAAATCAATATCTTTTTCTTCCCTCCGGGCGAAAAGCGTCAACTTTTCTCCCGCTGTTCAAAACGAAATTGCCGCTTTCCGCCTACGTCGAGCAGAAAAAATGTATACTCACCATGGGCAGTAAATAAGAAATTTCTTACTTTACCTCCCTAGGTGAGTAATATACTATTTTATTTATTTGTTTTTTACTTCTATGTTTTGTTTAATAGTTGATGTTCTATTATTTGCAAATTTGTTAACATTTGAATGTTTCACTATGTTAAGTCGTCTCTATTGGTTCCGTATATTAGAAAATTGTATTGTATAATGTATGTGTATATATATATATAAACATTAACATATTCTTATTTTGTAATTATTTTAATTACTTACAAAGAATATTAATCAATTCCATTTTTGGTCTCGTAAAAAATGTGCACACATTTACGAAATAAAGAAATTTTTGTTCTTATTGGAAATAATGATGAAACCGTTTATCGTGCTTCGATTGGCAGTGTTTAAAAATTATGATTGAATTATTTGTATTTTGAATTTTTTTAATACGAGCTACACAATTTTCACGCGAGAACATGAAAATGATTTGATTTTTTTTTTTTTTTAATTTTACATCAAACGGTACTCGTATCTAATATTTGTGTACTTGCGTTTAAATCATCGCAGATTTGTTTTTTTTTTCGATGTTATTACTCGTTTTTTTTTCTTTTTTTTTTTTTCATTATGAATACAATTTTTGATTGAAATTAATGTCAGGTTTTTGCGTTTCTTTGAAATCGATACTTATTTCATTCATCATCTTGTTTTAATTCATTCACAAATAGATCAATGCGATCTTATTATAAGGTTATCCAAAAATATCATTAAATACTTTTATTATTATTATTATTTTTTTTTGTTTTTTTTTTAAATTATTTGCTATCAAAAATTGTAATAAACTGTGTCGCAAACTGTCGTTTGTTAACTACTCCTTTTTTCTTGTTTCTTTTTTAACACAAATATTTCAACTTATGGCCTCTGTACGTAATCTAATAATAGTAAAGGGTTGAAATTTGGTCTAATATTGGCAACTCTGCCCTTTTTCATCTGATTCGAGTCTTATTTAAACGTAACAAATACGTATATGTGTATGTGTGTGTGTGTATAAGTGTGCGATACGATCATCAAATATTAGATCGATCATCTCAAAGTTTTCCATTTTAACCACCTCCTTTTTTCTTTTCTTTTTTTTCATTTCTTTTTTACTCTTTGGTGGAACCAAACATATCGACTATACGTCATTGGAATAATAATACATTGAATTATGACATTTCTTTAGCTTTCATAAAATATGTGAGCATGTCAATCGGTAATGGAAATACGATCGTTGAATTCTTTTCAGCCGAAATTGTATTAAGTGTCTACGATTAAACAAACAAATGAGAAAATTAATTATTATATATTTTTAATCTTTCAAGCAATTCAAATATTCAGGAGATCGAAAAATAATCAAAATTTTAAATGCTAATCAACAACAAAATTGGTTCAATTCCCTTTTTAAAAAGTCCTTCGATTTTTCATTGAATTTTGATTACTTTTCGGTACCTCGAACAAAATGAAAAAAAAATCAATAATTGATCGTTACTTACCTGTAGATAACGTAATTGCAATGCAGCAGGTGAATCTCCAATTACTTCAGATGCTTCTCTTAATGCTCTACTTGCCTTTTGTTCACCTTCAGCAGCGATGACCTATAATTAAATACGAGTATACAAAATCATACAGAATCAATTTTATGCAAATGTATAAAACATTAATAATAATTTTTAAAAAAGAAATAAAAGTTACCTTAGCACGTGCTTCTCGTGCAGCTTCTGCTTCTGCAGCCATTGCTCGTTGCAATTGAACAGGAAGCCTAACGTCTTTGCTACAAATTTCACATTTATTTCATTTATATTTTTTTATTTATTGAAAATATTACATTAATTTTTTATTAAAATACTTACATTTCAACTCGTTCGACCTTTATACCCCAGGTATCGGTAGCTTCATCCAAGGAAATCTATGATGCACCTTAATCAATTTTCTTTTACATATAAACTTACGTATGTATATGTGTGTGTGTATGTATTTACGTACGAGTATTTACGTACAAATGTATGTATAATTAATATTACAATAATTGCAATTTATTTAATAGTTACATTAAATGCTATAAAAAAATCAACGAATTATTTTCAATATTGAATAATTTGTTAAAATAAGTAGTTCAATCGATAATTGTAGTACTTAAGATATGAAATCACATTACATAATAAATAAAATTTTTAAAAAACATATGTCCATATCACACAAGTTAGAAGTGAAACCTTCAAATAAACAAGTTTCGAGGATAATTTATTGTATAATATTATTTGTACTTTTAATTTGTAATTATTTATTTAATTATTAATTTAATTAAAAAAAATGCGCGCCTGTTGATATGCAATCCTCCAGACACACTTTGAAAATGTTGCTTGCGAGCGCCATCTACTGGGACAGAATTTTTTGCAGTCAAAACTGTTTATACACATATGTATGACGGGTTGCATATCTTTCGAGCAGAAAAAAATTCCGTACTAACAGATGGCGCTCGCTAGCAACATTTTAAAAGTGTGTCTGGAGGGTTGCATTCATACAGGCGCGCATTTTTATAATAATTACAAAGAAAGTAAATAATAAAACACATATTTTTTTCCTTTYCTTTCCCCACTACATCACCGGGTTACATTTTTTCAAATGACACCCATTCTAAAGAAGTTTTCATTCAAAAATGGAATAGTTGAAGGAATATAACGTACCTGCATGTTACCAGAAATAGTTTCACGTTCGCTAAGTATTTCATGTAACGGTCTTGTACCCATGGTATTTCGAAGTGTCGTTTGTGCAAGAAGTCTTGTACTATGATGTGCATTTTCCACATTTGCTATAGATATAGTAGCATTATTAACACGATAATAAACTACTGCATCGACGGATACTGTAACGCTGTCCTTTGTTAATACCTGGAAAATAATCGATATTCGTTTCACTTTCGTTATCTGTTATAAATATCTCAGCATTGAAATTGATAACAAGAAATAATATAAATTATAAACATACCTCTTGGGGTGGAACATCATAAGTTCTCGTACGCAAATCAACTCGTGCGTAATTGTCTACGCAGGGTAAAATAAAGAAAATTCCTAAAAAAAGAATATTTTTATTAAACTTAGCTCCCTGTGGGGAAGGCGGGGAAGAATACCCCCTCAGTAATCCCTGCTTTTCGTAAGAGGCGACTAAAAGAGAAACCCAAAAAAAAAATGGAAAATGAAAACTTACCAGGACCTTTAGCACCACCAGATAGAAGACGACCTAATCGGAATATAACAGCTCTTTCGTATTCCTGTACAACCTACAAACGTAATATGTAAAATGTAATTGTCAATAATTAATTAATCAATAATTACGAAATAAAGGATTTATTTTAAGGTGCTTTTAGATAGGTCAAAGACCCTGTGATAATATAAACATTTTATTATTATTATTATTATTGTGTTATAAATGTGTTGAATAAAACGATGAAGAGTTTTACTATTAACAGAATTTTCAAGATCTTTTATAGAACATCAACGACGCTTGGAGGTCAATTGTCCGTTCTATTAATAATGCAACGAGGGTGATAGCTGTTTATACAGTGACCGCTTAAAAAAAAGAATAAAAGAAAGAACTTCCGAATACCCTTTAAACTTTCGTTAATATTTTACCTTGAAGCAAACGAAGAGCGAAAATGGCATTGTCAAAATGACCAAAATCCATGACAATATCACCAGGATATTACCACAGGTTGTCGAATCGGATTGTGTTGAATCTTCCGCTAAAACAATGAAACACAAACATACCAATTTCATTTGACAATATTCATTGTTTTATTATTGTAAATACAATCTATTTGCGTTGTTTGATTATTTGTTCATCCGATGATTGAAACCAAGTTATTAATTAAGGCATACGTATTGGAGAACAAAATTTCATGTTTCAAATCGATTATGAATTTATGCGAGCTCACAACAAAAAAACAGAGAAAGGTGTACTTGACTTGATTTTACGAGTAGCATAAGAACTGTTATTGTCTAGTTAGTATTCTGTAAATTAGTTCTTTCGTTAGAGCTCGTTTTCTTAAGAAGAAAGAAAAAAGAAAAAAAACAGGAAAAAAGACTTTTACAGGTACTCTTGAATTATCTCAAAAAGGGTTTTCCAATCTAGCTGCTAGCTATAATAAGTGTTTATATAGTCCAACCTATAATATATCATCATCCTCTTACTTAGATGAACGATAACTTGTTAGTCTCTTGTCATTATAACACATGCACAGTTCGTAGATAACAAAAAATACTCCCAAGATTGTAATCTCTCTCTTTCTATCTTTTTTCTTACAACTTTATTATTATTATTATTTATTTTATGTTTTATTTTCTTTTTTTGTTTTTGTCGAAAAAATACAATTGACGTAAACAAATGTGTTATTTTTCTCGTAATTCAAGATCGATAAAGGGATACACTTGCATATACTTGTACTATATATATACAGTTTATAGGAGGTTTATAAGTTTAAAAAGAAAATTATGCCAAAAAATTAAAAATTACCATAGAATAAATTTCACCCTGTGCACAATTGTTTCAATCATTGAAAATAATATTCTTAAAATTTATTATAATTCTTAGATTAATTTTTCTTGATAACTTATGTTTTTTTTTCTGAATATTTTCGAAATATAAACCAACTAAGTAAATTGTTGACAATACTAATACAAAACGTAATAAACGGTGTATACCAAGTAAACCCTCGAGTAATTCTCGCTCGATATCTCATTTAAACACAGAATCGATCTTATTAACGATAACAACACATCGAAAGAAAAAGAATAAGAATTACGGATCGATATATTCCTATATATACATATACAAATGCGCGTCCTTTCCAAGAAAACTACGTAAATCGACTAACACAGAATAAATTTACATACATCTACGTTTTTATATATTTTATACAAAATTTTAACAAATTCTAATGAAAAATCTCATAAGAAAGCGCACCTATACAAACATACACACTCGATTCGAAAATTAATTATAATTCTTTACATATATACATAATATAATGAACACAATGAAAAAGATTAAAATGAATTGTTTTTTTGTATAAATGAATATTTTGAAATGTTCATATTTAAGCTTACCGTCCGTCATAACGAAAATGTAACTAGCGACGTACCCAGTGACCCGTTGACCTAAGTCACTGAATTATTCCCTATCCCTTTCTATCCTTCCCTCCCTCTTTTTCCCTCCCTCTCCTGCACCTCCCTGTTTTCTTCTCCTTCTCAACGTAGATAGATTCGATTTGAAGATTTAGTATTGGACCTCGTGTAAGAGGAAATTATTGGAAATTATTGAAAATTATTCGTAAGATGGATATCACACTATTTTGCTACGAATATTTGTTCCCTTGTCTGACCGTGTCCAACCACCCACTCACTCACTCACATGGATAAAATCCTATCTATCTTTCTCTTCTCGTAGTGGCATGCGCGAAATGCGCGAAATGCGCGCACCACCTACAACACACACACACACACCTTTATCATCCTTTCTATTCTCCTTTTCTATCCTACAATACTCTGACCTACTCTTTTATTTTATTTTATTTTATTTTATCAGTGTCCAGTTTGCCTACTTTTCCATCAACAAACCTTTTTCTTTTAACTCCTACTTCTATTCGTTTTTTTTTTTCGTTTTTTTTTTATTCTTTTTCCAATGAAAACGTCACTCGTCAATGTTTGAGTTCCCCTTTTTTTCTTTTTATTATTCTTTTTTCTTTTTTATTGAACGAATTATAGAATAAAATGAATTTTACGAAGGGAGAGTAATATCGATTGTCAGAATTCGTATCCAATCTCTTCGTTTAATGAAAAATGTCTGTCCATCTTTTCCACTATTTTTCCCATTTCCTCTTTCGTATTTTTTCTTTTTTTTCCAATGAAAATGTCGCACGTCAATGTTCTATTTCCTGCTTTTTCTTTTCTTTATATATATAGATCGTTTATTTATTTATTTAATATAATTGAATGAAAATGAACGTTTGTTTTAAGCCATGAGAATTTTTATTATCTTTTGTTGAAATTTTCATTTTTATATGTCCACTCTGCCTACTTTTTTTCATTTCCTTTTCTTTTTATACTGGAAATGTCACACGTCAACGTTCTATTTTCTGAGTTTCTTTTCTTTTCTTTTCTTTTATTTTTGTTCTTTTATTTTTTGTTTTATTGATGACAAGGGGAATATTACAAGATAAAACGCGAATTTTCTTATTAGAATTTGTATAACATTAACACAATGGCTTTATTTTCTTTTTTTTTTCTAATCGATTTTCTTTCCACGTTTATAGATAGTCTCGAACTATATTTATTTCTAACTCAAAGATGAAGATTGTATATATATATATATATATATATATATATATATATATTAAGTACATGCAAGGTGAATGCTATAGAGTAACCAAGTTCAACTATAACTGGCTGATTAATGTCCCCTTATACTACTTTTTTACTATTGAAGATTTTTCGTTTCATTGTAGTTTGTTTTTTTTTCTTTTCTTTTTACATAAAATATCGATTAAAATGTTAATTTGATGTCACCTCGTTCATCCAAGTTTCATAATAAAAATATTCGTTAAAAATATTATAATTCTCTAAGCTGTATAAGTTTAATAATAATAATTAATTAATAAAAGACAAATATTAATGAAAACTTCATGATTTGTACTTGTTAATTAAATATCATTTAACACTTACTTTACAAACTTCGAAGACAACATTTCTAATTATCGATAAACGATCTTTAATATTTTCGATAGCTTTCAACGCATAATTGACCGGCTATAATTTAATCAAATCTAACGTGATTAATAACAGTTACGAAAATAGATTATAAAGTTTTCAACCTTAATGAAAAACTACGAAAAAATGAATTGTTTTTTTACAAGAAAAAATACTTTTCAACCAACGAATTATAATTAGTATTTATTAGTATTATATTTGATATAGTTAGATAAACTTTGTTTAAAGTTTAAAACGTTCAGTAGGATAAAATAAAGATTACTTCTTTACACTTAAGTAATAATTCATTCATATCAAATTCACATTATCGTTTACTATATCTAATAATTTCAAACAACGACGTGTCGATTCAATAATATTAAAATGATGATTATGATGATGATGATGAAGATTATACTTTACAAAAGAAAAATTATTTTATTTTTTTTTTTTAGGTAGATTGAAAAACGATCGTTTTATTTTTACTGTTACGAGAATGGTTTGAAAAATTATGAAATTTGTCAACCCACCCACGTATATATTACATACTCGTTCAACATTTATATTTTATTTTAATTTAAAAATATATGTATAAATATCACTCTTACCTCCGATAATACGATTTCGTATATCATCAGGACGCGTGTTAATCTGAATCGTAGACCCATTACCATTAGTTAAAGTCGCCATAGGAAGAGATACTTCTATGGGATTAACGCGAGATTCAAATTTCGCCACCTAAAATCATTTCATATCAATTACTAAATATTATTTAAAAAATTACTAAATTACTATTAAATCATAATAAATATAATATAATTAAACAAATATATTGATTTTAATTTATTTCAAATAAATAAAATCTGGAATTCTTATTAAAATAAATCTTTGAACACATAAAACACACTTATCACAAATCTATGGTGGTGATTCGTGAAGAATAACTCGAATAAAAAATTTTGTTCGTGCAAACGCACTTATTATTATTATTATTATTATTATTATTATTAGATTAGATAATTTTTTTGATTATCCTGAAGAATGGTGAATTATTAAAATAAAGTTTTTTTATTTCGTCCTGTTTACGAGTACTTACATCAGTTATATGAACTAAAACATAAAAATGCTCGTTAAATTTAATTCCAGATGATTCTACGATTTTACGACATGATAACGGGCTAATTCAATTTAATAATTCATGCAATTTCATTTTAACGGAATTCGCGTAGATTAATGATAATAATTAATCGGCTAAAAAAGCACTCCCATCTAAATTACGTATTTATAGTATTGAAAGCATTTGTTTATCTTTTAAAAAATATAATTTCATTTTTTACATCATCATTCCGTGAACATAAACACACAACAAACGATAAAAATCAAGACAACAAAACATGAAGCATCCTTAGTAATATCTCATCGAGATAATATCTAATAGAAAATATGTTGTTGACACACGATCAAGTTTTCTATCTCTTTCTCTCTTATAATAGAATAAACATTTTCCATCGACAAAATTCTATCAAAACGGATATGTTTATTCCATTTAAAAATAACATTACACTTACAAATTTATGATCCGATAATTATGACAGTGAATTTAGTCAAAAAATGGAAAAAAAAACAAACAAACAATTTATTTTATATTATAATTAAAAGTTGTTTATTTATAAAATAAATTATAAAATATCCCTTTAATATTCATCGATTTTCATAATTACCGGCACATATTGTGAAACAAGTAAGATACTTCAGAAAATTCTATTTGAAATTGTTAGATAAAAATATTATAGTTGAAATAAATTAAAAAATATTCTAATAAGCTTCTATAATTAAATAAATTGTTTGATTTCTTTTTATTTAATCGGTGCCTTTATTTTTGTATTTTTCCAGAGGGATGTATATTACATTCCTGACGTAATTGGAACAAGAAAAATAACATAAAAAATGATATTTTGGGTATAAGAAAGAAAAAAAAAAGGAGTAAGCTTTACAAATAATAAAATGAGAATAATATTGTATAAAGTCTTGATCACCTTGTGTCGTTTCTTCTTACACAAATGAAAAGGTAGACACAACGTGGACGTCGTCGTGGCTTCAGAGACCTTTGTACGAGACGACGACCGCCACCCTAACTAGTAGTAAGGCATTGGTTTAACACTATAACTCGACTACGCGCAGTTCGTCCTTGCGTACCGATACCCTTCCACTTTTAAACGGTGCTGACCCCTTGTCATTAAAACGTTTAAATAGACCTTTGGAAATATTCAACTATTTCATCGTTAGAAAACTTAAAAAATTTTTATTACATCATCATCATCTAAAAACGAACCCTTATCTGATCAATATTCCAATTAGAATTTATTTTTTATTGTCTGTTATATATTCGAGCTAACAGATTAAAGAAAAAATAAATGAAATTCATTAAAGATAATAATTACTCGAAATATATTACTTATTACATTTAATTACATATAAATTTGTTGTTTTATTTGAAAAAATGATGAGGAATTATTTGAAGGTCGGACGAACACTAGTCAGAAGTTTTTTAAAAGGAAACACGTTTTAAATATTGTTTATTAGGTATAACTAAGCAGCTATATAGGTATATGAAAAGCTTTTAAATGTTATATGTGAGAATAAAAGCACGTGTGTCTCAACTATCGAGCTTAACTTTTTTACACGTAAAGCATAAGTAAAAGGTTCAAGGATTCCTAAGAGGGACAATAACCAATGATGTATTTTAATTAGCCTGTAATAAATATAGTAATTAATATAAATAAAATAAATGAAATTAAATTTTCATTCATGATCATGTGTTTATTAACATCAGGCTAGAATGTATGACAGTATTAATGTATAATGCATTATATTTCTTGATTTATTAAAAACAGCTTATCTTTCTTCTTTATAAATACTTAGCATTTTTAAACTTTCATTTTTATCCTCAAGTGGATGTATAATTAATATTATATTTTTTTATTTTTTTATTTATATACTGACAATATGTCTAAATTCAAAGCACAAAAGTATATTCGTGTTTAATCGCAATGTCACTTCGATAAAAATTGATCGGAGTCTTAAAGAGTACTATTATTATTAATATTATTATTATTATTACTATTATTAGTATTATAATTATTACAACCGACGAATAAAAATTGAAATATAAAAATGCACTGGTCTTATAATCCCCTTTGGTTAGACAAACGACTTGTGGTGAACGGTATTAATTAATTTTTATTGCTCGTAATTTTCGTGCAATTTAATGATACTTATAATAATTCATCGCTTAATCTCTTAAGTATATTATTAAATCTCTCTATATATGTAAACGTGTATATGCACTTAGGCAAATTATTAGGGCGAGTTTGAAGAATGATGGGTGAAACAATGTACATGGAACGTTTGGTCAAAGTTACACCAGTGATCAATCATGAGTAATCTTTAAAATACTGACTTTTATGATCATTTTGTTGATAACACTCCGTTATCGTATAATAAATTTTTGTTTCGTCTTTCTTTTATCTTGACTAGCATTTAAAAAGCGAGACCAGCCTCAGAATAAGTTGTAAAGATTTTTTCAATCGAGTTTGCATAAGCTGCTGTCCTCAGATCAAGTCCGAGATTAAACTTCATAGCAGTCTTCATAATGGCCTATAAAAAAAATAATATAAGATTTAATCACAATTATATATATTTATAATTAAATATGTATTGTTAAAAATTTTCACAAATATGTTCATAATTAAAACCTACCCTGGCAGATCGTTCCATTGTATAATCTAATCCTGAATGTACAATATCTTTTTCGGATGCACCAGAAATACGCTTATTAAAAGCTTCTGAAGGAGTAACAGGAATACGACCACCAACGCGACCAAATCTACGTTCCAATGATTCTTGTACAGATTCTGTAACACAGCAAACGAAAAATGATTGATTTAATGAATGAAATTATTTCTAATCAAGGGGTATAAATTACCGTATTAAATATTGCTATTATAATATTGCATTTAACTAACCAAGTAAATGATAATTAGATTCTCGTTCGTATTTGAAAGTTAAACGACCATACGACACGTGATTTAAATTCTTCAACCATTCGAAGAAAGAAACTGTAACACCACCAGCGTTAATATAAAGATCTGGTATAACGAGTATGTTTCTTTCAATGAGTATTTGATCGGCAGCTGGAGTCGTTGGACCATTGGCAGCTTCGGCTATTATTTTTGCCTAAAATAAACAAATAAAAATACGATTAAAATAATATTCATATCATTTTTGGTATCATTTATTATCATTAAGTAGAAATATTAACCTGAATACGATTCGCGTTATCTTTGGTAATAACTTTTTCTACAGCAGCGGGTATAAATATATCGCAAGGCTCGTACATGAGATTCTCTCCCGTGTACGGTTTGGCACCAGGAAAACCTACAATCGTACCATTTTCTATACGGTAATCTTCTAGTTGCTGAAATTAAAAAAATATACGACAATTAACAATGACAATTTATATTTGGTATGATAAGTTAATATGAAAAATGAATATTTAGATTTGTACTTTTGGATCGATGCCTTCCTCACTAACGATCGCACCATCATGTTCAATGACTCCTATGCAAGCAGCTCCAGCACGATGTAAATAACGCATTGTGTGCAAACCAACATTACCAAAACCTTGAATGATGAAAGTTTTTCCACCCCAACCAGGTGTGGTACCTACAAATCAAAACACACTTCATTCAAACTTCAATTCTTTCAAAAAAAAAAAAAAAAAAAACAACAATTTTATATGATTAACAGTACGTACCAATCATACTCATAAAGTTAGCTTCATTAATAAAATTCTCCAGTCCGTGAAATACTCCACGACCAGTCGCAGATATTCTTCCATGAATTCCACCTTGATTAATAGGTTTACCAGTTACACAAGCATGAGCATTAATATCCAAATGGCCGATAGTTTTCGCATAGGTATCAGCAATCCAAGACATCTCTCGTTCTCCTGTACCCATATCAGGAGCAGGTACGTCTACACCAGGTCCTATCAAAATACAAATTCCAACAGGTTTATTTTTTGCCATTCTCGTTACGTTTTTAAAAATACTAATACAATTTATATTTTATTTTGAAGTAGAAAAGAAACCGATAAGAAAAAATACACAGAGTGTATAGATAATTTAGTATGTTATCGCTTCATTATTATAGATGCTAATACTTGTTAATATTAACATTACTTTATTTTTAAATACAAAAGATAAAGTTAAGAAGAAGATAGAGACTTGAAATAAAAAAAAAAATGCAAGAAATTTGTTCTTTTGCAATATGCTAGATATAACAACAAGAACAAGGATAGAGATTATTTTAAGCAAGCTCTCACAAATGTTGATTTTCTACAACAGATTTGATCTAAAATTATCACAGATGAAATAACGTCGACGCAGCAACAGCAGCAGCAGCAGCAGCAGGCAGGCAGACAGGCATACGAAATGACGTAACAAAACGCTGACGATTGAGATGCCAAAATGGTATCTCTGTTGTTCAGTATAGAAAATCTTAAAAATTCGTTATTCTTACAATTAGTTTTAATGAGGCTTACCAATGAATCCTTTCTTTGCAAGTTCCAACGTAAATCTTCTTGTAATTTTTTCAAGCTCATGCTCGGAATAGTTTTTGGGATTGATTTTGATACCAGCTTTGGCACCACCAAAAGGTACATCCACACAGGCACATTTAAACGTCATCAATGCGGACAAGGCTTTTACTTCGTCTCGAGAAACATCCATTGAAAAACGGATACCTGTAAAATGTATTCATTTTATTAGAATAATTGTATTTATAATATGAAATAATTATCATTTCTTTTTTCAATATTTATTTTAGATGAATGTCAATGTCATACTCGTGAATAAGATACCTGTATTTTACAAATACAAGTTAATTCACATTAGCTCTCTAAAACTCGTACATATTTGCGATAGGTATTATTGAAAAATACACATTGCAACAACATTTGTTGACTTTTGAATTTCAAATTCTAATCATTTTCACATTCACAATTGATTCGCAAAAGTTACGAGAGTTCGTTGACTTAATAAATTATAAAATCTATTCTAAAAAAAGAGTTTCACACTATAAATAAGAAAATTAATATTCGTATAAATGAATTTTAAATCAATAAGAAAAAATAAAATAATAAAGTACAATTGATTAGATCACTTAAATTGATTGTTACTATATCGTTGGAATTTTGTTACAGTTATCGGTAATCACTAGGAAAGAAGTATAATGTTACAGCTGATAATATACTTGAATGTATACTAATGTATATGTGTTTGTGCATATAAATAATTAACGATTTGATTCCGGTATTAGATCTAACAATAAGAAATATTTTTCTTTTCAGACTTCTAAGCAGCAAACCTGCATAAAACAATGCACATACTCATAAATATGTTACACACATGATAAATTATCTTAATTACTGAAACCATTTATAAAATATGCATTTTAATGCAATACAAATAATTATTTAATTTAAAAAAAAAAAAAAAAAGAAAGAAAGAATAATAAAACACAAGCAACAACACAACCGTAAAAAAACAATGAAATAATGAAATAATGAAATAAAATCAATCAATCGGAACAAAGAGAAGAGCCAATTGCAAATGTTATTGACCTTAAATATCGTGTCATTGCCATGGAACGTATATTGTCGTTTTATCGCGTGATTAATTTAGATGCCAGATTACTAACAAACATTTGGCAACATCTCTTGACGACGTAATCATTGCTAAGTTTTTCAAACACACACCTTTAAGTATATATAGTATACCAAGGTATTCAAGACATGCTGAAGTTCACGAACGATTTATTCAAACGATATGATCAGTCAATTGAGTTATCGAGAATCTATGTAAATATGACCTGCCTCTGGTACTTCATACTCAACCCAGCCCTCTTTTACACTTCATATTTTTATCATGTTCGATAAAAAATATTGAGTATAAAGCTTGAATATGCGATGGGGAAACCAACGTGTGTATGTATAAGCAAGTTGTGATAAACAAAATAATTATTACGTTTAAATAACTAAGTGATGAGTCATCTTAATGGACAAGAACAACATTCTGCACTATACATTTTCATTCTATCTCTTTCTCTCTCTCTCTCTCTCTCTCTCTCTCTCTCTCTATTTAATTCATTTGATTTGGCTAACATATTAGTTTTAGTTTTATCCTACACGTGACAATTCGGACAATTAAAATAAAAGTCGTCATAGCAAATAATCATATTTCGTAATCCATTAGCCCAGGTGTTACATCTTAAAATGAACTATAAAAAGATCGAGTATATAGACGTGTTCGAAATATTTCATTTGTAACGTATATTCGTTCTATTATATTTTTTTTTTCTTCGATGACGAAACAGCAAAATTTTTGTTCCTATCATTATCTCAATTTGGTAACATGTAAAATATTATCTCTCGCTTTAAAAAGCGATAGTATTTAAATACTTTCAAATAATTCTTTTTGTCCGATCAATTGGCTATTTTTAAATTGTCTCAATACATTTTTATTCTTTTATACACTTGTAAAATTGTCAACGTCGTAAAAAATAAGAAAAAAAGTCCTAAAGTCCTAAGGAGATTAAGAAGAATAAGAATAAGAAGTTTTTTCTATCGAAAATGCATAAAAAAACGATTAAGTCTAACTTGTTAAGCTATAATTGTTTGAAAAAACACGTAATGAAACACGATACTTGTGAGAACATTTCTGATAAAAAAAAAACAATTTTAATTAAAGTAAGCTAATTCTCTTATTTTTACAAAGTCACATGCGTTACGTGAGCGTGAACTAATTTAATTTTCTTTATCGTTACAATGGTACTCTTCAATCATTGAAATAAAAGAGTAGACATGGAATATACAAAGAAATAAGATAAAAATGAAATATCAAATAGAAAAAAATATTTGAATAATCCGGTTTTTTTTTCTTTAATGTCTTCACGTCACAGTCGAAGAATTAGGTGATAGTTTAGTCTTCTTTAATATCGAGGTTAAAACCTCGTATACTTTGAAGCCGTAAAAATGGTTACAAGTGTGCGAAGAGTCCTTACATACGCGGACACATTATACCCATAAAAGTGAACTCGGGAATACAAAAGACGTGGGATGATCTGACATTCTGCTGAGACTAAGCAATGCAATACATTTTTGTCTATATTATCTATGTTATTTACCAAGTAAGAAAGTAATTTACCATGTAAGAGAAAGAATAAAAAAGAAAACAAAAATGACATTAGCTATGACTAATTTTATCGCTTGACTTTATGCTAAGTTTGTTGAAGTATTAAAACATATCTATCTGTATGAACATATTCATATATTCATATATATATAGATTCAGTTTATGAATCATTACTCCTTAAAATAATAAAAAATATTGTAAATTAAGAAATGTATTAATTTTTGCTTGAAAAATTTGAAAAATTTGAAAACACACAATTAGATTTGATAAAATAATTTAACTTACAATTAATATTTCTTTAACTTGGAAAATAATTTATATAAAATATTGATAGTATTTAGAGTATTTATCTCTTTTTCATTTGTTATCTTTTTATCTTTTTATCTGAGAATAAGAAAGAATGTGCGCGCACAGATATGTGACGTAACCAAACTGCAAACCCATCAAAAACGTTGTCTACAATTAACTTCTCTTTAATCTTTCAACAATAAACGTTTCTTTATGTTTTCATGAATATTTTCACTAAACCCGGAAACATAAACTTTAATAAACGTGCTTAAAATGTAAAAAAATAAACTCACGTTACATTCTGATAAATATTCATTCTATATGCGAATAATGAAAATGAAAAATATTGAACACTTAAAATAAATTAGCTGAAATTATATAACGTAGTTTCATTCGATTTTACTCACGACGGATAGATAGACAAAGCTTATGTACACATATTCACAGCAAAAGAGATAGAATTAAATACTACTTATTAGATCTATCGCTATCAACTCAACTGTCGTTAAAAATTGTACAAGTAAATCGTATAACGCATTGTTATCAAACGCGCCAAATTATAAGTTATGTTCTATATGTATATAATAACAGAAATATGATACAATACTTAAATATTTTCTTTGTTTTCTTCAAAGCATGCGTATAGCAGTGAACAAAAGAAGGAAAGTAAAATGTGAATAAAAAATAAGAAAATATACACACCTCCTTTGCAAGGTGTACGATGTGTCGAATGTTGGGCACGGTAACCTGTGATCATTTCATAATCACCGGAATCACGTCTAAGAGGAAACGATGTCTCAAGTATGTGATCGCATGGTTCCATCAGCATTAATATTCCCTTAACTTTTTTCTTACGTTCCTCAACGGTTATCCTCGAACGTTTGCCGATATCTTCAACTAACTTATCTTCGACTATCTGACAAGCACGATGGAAAAAATATTCGACCATGTCGAAAAATTTGGGATTAGGTGCATTCGGTACATCCTTCAAACGTTCGGGAATTTGATGATCGGCGTAACCTCGCATTTGCAAGGCCGCTGTTGTACCTCGCATTAATGTACCTCGTAAAACATCATTACTAGGCACCTGTTTTAAACCGATCGGCGATCTCGTCAATTTTCTCACGTGGAACATATTGTTCTTATTCTTTACTTAATTATTCCCAGGAAAACTTGTTGTTAACACCGGATGACTAATTTGGACTATCTCGTGTTTCTTTTCGAACGTCGACTACTGGATTGTTTCTATCTCTTTAATACTGTTTCTCTTTTAGTTACTCCATTTGGTTTTCTACTATCTTAAAGCGTCTTCTAAGCGTCTTCTAAGCGTCTTCTTTATTATCCCCTCTTCTTTTTCTTCTTCTCTCTGAATTCAAATCCTTCCTCCTTGTATCTTGTGAGTAACGATCCAATACCAGCCACGGATCCTGAACAAATGTATTGGATGATTTTTAATTTTTCCCCCTCTTGGATCTGTTCTACCTTGCCCTTCCTTTTCTTCTTCTTCCCTTCTACTTTGCCCTTTATCTATCTACCCCTATCTTCTACCTACCTGACTGTTAGTTTACTTTGTCAGCTACTTGCGTTATACCTACTACTACCAATCTTTTCTCACCTTCTTCCCAACTGTTCAGTACCGACCGACTGACTCTACTCAAACCTTCTACCTTCCTCCGCTTTTTCTCTATCGATACTACTTGATAAAATATATATATATATATATTAACCATTGGTTCATAAATTTAAATCCAAGGAAGGCAACTCCCCTTTCAGAAAAGTTCTGTCAATTGCGTCAAGCGTCATCTAGTCGTGTATGCATACAAACTGAAAGAAATTTTTATCTAATTTAATATATATAAAATACATTATTTAAATATCTTCTCTTAAATAATAAAATTTTATTATCTTTTATATTGCATTAACAAAATTTACTTATATAAAAGAATTATTTTCCTCATACCAATAATGCAAAATGTACAAACTTAAAGGAAATTATGTTTTCTTTGTATTTAGGAAAGTTATAATTCTTTTTTCCTATCTTTTATTAATATTTAGATCTCTATATTAAAATGGTATAGAAATATTTTAATTTTATTCTTTTAAAATAAAATTTACAATTCTCTTTCTCTATTTTATATATTAACACAAATAACGGAAGTTCAACTGTGACAGCCATCTTGCTCTTATCTCATTCGCGCTAAATTTAAATGATGATTTTATTGTGTAGATTGTAGATTTTTAAATATTTAAAAATATTTAATAACAAAATATTCACTTTTTATAAATATTTCAATACACTATTGCAAGATCATTTAAATATATATACTTTTATGAATTGTATTTACGTTAAACATATTCTATATACTCGTTATAAGAAACTGGCCACCAAAGATGGCTGAATCATAGTTTCCGTTTTACAAATGATATTTATGACACATTTTATACTTTTCTTTTACTAGTCTCTGTATGACTTAACTTGAAAATAACAAATAAATGTTTAGGTTATGAATGAACAAATAAAAACTTTCATTTAAACGATTTTTAACCATTCACTTGGAATTATTGTATTATAAAGTATTTATTTTATTGATACTATCTAAAAAGATTGTTAATTTAAATTAAAAAAAAAAAACAGTAAATAGAACTTAAATGATATTTTTTACTGGGTATTGAAAATATTGTTTATATAGGTTATATGTTTTAAATTTGTTTAATTTCCAACTTTTATTAGTTTTGACATACATTTGTCTTTAATTCTAATAGGTTATTTATACATAAAAAAAAATGTATTCAAAAAAGATTATTAAAAAAGTACCGGGGGACTTACCACCACCAACAAAAAAGGAAAATCAAGGATATATTGATAACTTAGCTAATAAATCAAAGATAGAGTTGGAAGAAATTTTAGAAAGACAGAATAAATTATTAGCTAATAAGTGAGTAATGTGTGATGAACGGTCTATTCTAATGTTTATTTTTACATATTTTTTATTATTCAAATTGTATCTTTTAGAAAATTTATTTCAACACTTCCTGATAAAGGGGAAAAGATTAAAACGTTCAGAGATAAATTGTTAAATCAACTCGAGCATCAAAAAGAAATAGATAAAGCAGCTGTGCTTCTTTCAAGATTGAATATAGCATCAGAAGGAAAAGCAGCAATGAATGAATTAGAATGGACAGGTATTTGTCCCAAGGAAATTCATAAAAATAAAATTGTTGAGTTGGATAGTGATGATGAAGAAGAAGATCCATTAAAGATTTTAGCACAAGTAAGTTCTTTACAGAAGTATCTAGAAAGTAATAGATATTTTTATCAATATCTAAATAATATTAGCCTACAGGAACTGGTGTACATAAGAAAAAAGTTATACATTTACAACCGATGGAGCCTTTGATAAAACCAGAAGATTTAGAGGAAATAGAATCTTTTAAAAATGAAGAAAAATCAGATTCCGAATTAGTGCATGTAAAATATCTTATTGATAAGGTTGAAAAACCTCTGGAAAAAAATCAAATTAAAAAGGAACCATTTAAGCCATACAAAACTACTAAGAGTGATGTTCATGATCCAGAGAAAGAGAAACAAAGGAAATATATTAAAAATTGGATGGTTACAGCTGCTACTCCTCCCCATATTGTACATGGTGCTGTTAAATCATTAAATTTGAGCGAATCGTTACAATTGCAAAGGGAACAAATTAAAAAGTTACAGGTAATTTGGCAAATCATTTTATACGAAATGGATTTTATATTTAAAACAAAAAAAAACAAAAGAATGTTTTCCTAGTTGACATATATAAATATGTTTTATATTATCACTTCAATATAGGATATTCAAGCGAAACATGCAGTTGAGCGATTAACAGAACAACTAGGCTTGCATAATATTGGTTGTGTACCAAGTAATGTGGGTGATTATCGTATACCTGAAGAAATCAAGGATACTAGTTCTAGTTCAGAAAGTGAAGATGAAGTATATGATGATGAAGATAAAGATAAAGGAGTAACTGTTGTTTATACAACAGATTTTACAAAAAGTTAAATGTTAACTTTTAATTGAATACAACTACAGAGAAAAAATATTATAAATTTAATATTAGCAAAAACAAATTGTGAAAAATAATTGTACAATTTGTTTTGTTCTGTAAATATTGCTGTGAAAAATAATACTTTCTATACATGATAAATTAAACGTTTGTAATTAAAAATTATGAAATCATTTGTATCTCTTTACTTTTTTTTAACACGTTGCGTACCAAGCGTTATTACGTTTTGTTTCCTCCGGGCCCAAGTTTTTTCTCGGCGCACTAGAACGATAGCGGAGAGATATGCGGGAAAACCAACAATTTAACTCGAGTAGATCCATGCATTGTCGATTATCTACATTTACAGTGCTATCGACCTATGTAATTGATACATTGTTTTGTTCCGAAATAATCTTATTGGTAAGTAGCTTATTTTTGATTTGGAAACGTTTATCGCTTTCCCTGGAAAGCATACATCTTTCATGTATAGATTATTTAGTTTAAAAGCATACTTTTTCTGAAACGCACCTCAGTAATTTTTTATCCCAAAAATGTTTATTGGACGTCGTGAAAGTACAATTGAAAGTGAGAGTAGTGATGAAAACGTTGCGAGTTTTAGAAGAAAAGTTAGAAATAGAATTTCGTCGAGTTCAAGCTCGGATACTGATGAATCATATGCAAGTGAAGATATTGAAGAATCACTAGAAGAACTGGCTTTAGACGAAGAAGAGAAATTGAACTGAATTGAATTGAATTCGAACACAAAAAAACAACGTATTGTTTGAATTGCCCAAAATCGCCACAGATGTGCTTGGACTGTTTCAACGAATTTCATGCGACATAGTATATTATAATATGTTATCCTATATAAATTAATAAAAAGTAGAATGTTATTTGTGTATTTTTTATATTTTTACGCTGTATATTCTATATTTATACTTCAGAACTTGTTCCATTAAATTTGTTTTCAAAATGCAACTGAAAATCTTATTTAACTTCAACAAGAAAAGCGTCACCCATGTACGGGTGACGCGGGACCCACGGAAGCATGCCCGTCACCCAAGTACGGGTGACGCGGTACGCAACGTGTTAAAATCAAGGCTTCTCAAAGTCTAAATGGCGACCCCATTCAAAGTCGCATAACTAAATTTACAAGTTACAGATATTATAGCTAAGTTATAAATATTAAAATACACGAATATATCAATTTATGATAAAAAAAGAGAAGATAGTACAAATAATACATATATACTCAGTGTTGTATAAAAATATTTACTCGGATAAAAGGGTCGCAAGTAGAGAAGTTTAAAAGTTCTGCTTTACTTTACATTATTGAATAATTTTGGGATTTATAAGATGAAAAGAAAGAATAAAATATATTGACATGTCTACGTTTACAGCTTTTAATTTTTTATTATAATTATAAATCAATTGTAACCAAAGTTGTTGATGATTTCTGTATAAGGTGCAGCAACACGGGAAACAGATGCTTCAGCCTGTTTTGTAAGTTTCTGTAATGAAAAAATAAATTAAACATATATTCGAATAATGCAAAATTATATATGCATTTTGAATAATCTCATAAGATATAGTGGTTTCATTATATATCAAATAATGTAGGTATTAGTAATCATCGGCATATATTAATAAGGAAATATGTATACAACTTCTTAAATAATAATAATAGTAATAATAATGATATAATATAATTGAAAAAAAAACTCACTTTGAGTTTGTTTCTCTTTTGGACTTCAAGAATGGATCTGACGCGCCGTTTGTTCTCCAAAGTACGAACCACAGCTTTGTACTTCCAACCAACTTCGTGCGATAATCTTCCAACGTGACAATACTAAAATACAAAAATATTTTTTAATGTATTATTTAGTTTCATTTACATTAATATAAATGAAATATTTCATATTGTTATAAAAACTCAGCTAAAAGTATCATCAAATCCAGTAAAATATACTGCATTCAGGCGCAAATTACCAAACCATCATCGTTTTTTATAAAATAATGTTTTCAACACAAAAAAAAAGAAAAAGGAAAAAAAAGAGTATATACAATAATCTGACAAGAACTTGAAAATATTAAACTCGTTTATAACTTTGATAATAATAACAATTAAAAATTACCTTTCTACCGGGTTTTAAGCACATTACTCTCATGGCGCCTGGTACAACAACACGTTTCCTGCGATCATAAGGAGGTGGACAACCTTCATAAACTTTTAACCTTCTTAAAGCATCCTTACCTCTTTGCGTCTTATGTGGGATCATACCTGTAATAAGATTAGTATTTCATATTATTAATAAAAGTTCAACAAAATCATTGAGAATATGTATTAACATTTTGAATAATCTCATAAGATATAGTGGTTTCATTATATATCAAATAATGTAGGTATTAGTAATCATTGGCATATATATTAATAAGAAAATATCAAACAAATGTTCTTAAAAATAAATGTTATTGAATATACCTCGCACTGTCTTCCAGAGAATTTTACTTGGTGCACGGAAATGGAATGGACCGCGTGCAGGGTTAATATTACAACGTTTACGTAAAAATGACATAAACTTCAACTTATTCCTGTAATCAAGATCAGAGTATTGAGATTATTATATATGTTTCGTCTGTTTATCTTATGTTAGTTAATTATCTTTCTAGATAATTATAATGATTATAATAATAGTAATATATACGAACTTAAAGAAGTTTCCAGAGATATTAAGTTGTTCGCTACGAACAACAATAACTTTATTTCCTTGCAAGATAGTTTTTGCAATGATAGCTGCTAATCGGCCGAGTAGATGGCCGCGGCCATCTATCAATATTGGCTAAAAATAAGAAAACAATATTAGTCAAATTATTAGAACTTTCATCAATCTAAAATTATTATACAAAGGATTTGATCATAAAATATGCATAAACAATTATGATGATAATAATAATAAATACCGATATCGACAAAATCCACGTGGATAACAATGTAAACGTATAAATTATTCAATGAACAATTAAGAATAAAAACATTTAAACATGTATTATAGAAGAAATTTGACGTAAAACATGTTAATATTATTGCGAATAATTATTTATCAAATATATGAAATCAATAAATAATAAATCTCAAGAAAACAATTTACAAAGAACAACGTGCACGACTTACTAATAGAACCTAAGTGTCCATCTTTAGTTTTGTACAATATGTTAAAGAAATATATCATTTTCGATGGAAAATATTGTTTTTTTATGATAAATCTTTAATAACGTGAAGTATAAATGTAAAAATAATTAATTATAACATTAAAATGAATAAAACTTTAATAACAAACCTTTTCACTGAAGCCAGTCATTATGATACTTTACCGGAAAGGACCGAGTAGTCATCAATTACAGTGTATACAGTAAAGGAAGTAATCCTATAGGGATATTTTGTAAGTGTTGCCAATATTATAATAACGGAAAAAATTAAAAAGAAATCAACATGGCTACGCGACTGTAGCGCTACTACACAGGTACTATAAAAACTATGAACTTTTAAGCGCCTACGTTATTTCCGTCTTGACTTTCAAAAAATTACACAGTACTCTATTCATTAATAAATAAAATTAGACATAATCAATTGGGTTTTTAAATAAAATAAACAGAAAAACACATCCGAGAAGTATCATATATTATTATTAATTATATAAAAACTATAATTTGATTGATTCTATTAAGTAATTAATTGTATAAATGTATAAATTATTTTATATTATTATAACATTTGTTGAATTTGGATAACAGGAAATACATAAGCGTATTATATTTTAATAAGGTCATACAAGTAGATGATTATAAATTTAAATGAATTATTTTATAATACTATTTTTATATAAAATTTGCTTAATTACAAAAAAATAAAGTAACAGTCTATTATGATTAAATGACAGATGAGAGGAAAATAGATGGATATGCATGAGTTTTGATAATTTTTTAAAAATAATGAATTATTATAATATTTTTAGAATAAATAAAAAAAAATAAAATTGAAGGATAATAACACTATATAAACTCAACAATTGTCGAGGATTTTATTAATAATGAATAACAAAATTTAATTATCAATTTTGGTTGCTGTTTGTTCATCGTATTGAATAGAAGGAATCATTGGTGGTTTAAAACCATATTCGACTTTTGATTGTCTAAAATTACCAATGTCTCCTAAAGGATATCCTTCCGATTGTCTTGCATTTCTCATAATTCCCGGTACGATTGATTGTTGTGCTTCGAGGAGGAAAAATGGTGAGGACTTTAATTGCATTCTTAAAGAACTCGATGACGTTTGACGTGAATCGATGTATTTGTTTTTTGGTGTCCTATCTTTATTATTATCAAAAATTCTAGCACGTCTTCTGTAAGATCTTAAATTTCCGTTAGAAATCATTTCTTTCGGAGGAACGGAATTCGAAGATTGTTCTAAGTAATTAAAATGAACATTTTTATTATTGTTATTATTATTATATCCGTTATTATTATTATTGTCTCCAAAATATAAATTTGGTTTTTTGCGTAAGTTTTCATGAATCGATGATGAAGAGGAAGAAGAAGAAGAATTAACATAATTTCTATGAAACGGAATGGATGTAACTTCGGCGTAAAATTTTTGTAACGATCGATGTACTTGTGACGGTGGTAAAACAAGTTTATCGATATCTTCGGAATGTACTTTAACATTTTCTGAATGTTGTCCTGTTTCGATAAGATAAGGTTTATGATTATGTTTAACTAGTTTCTTCTCCGAATAATCTGGATTAATTTTCTCACTCGAAATAGATGGTAATTTGATATTAACCGGATGTGGTTGCATAATTAATCTATGAATTACGTGAGGTACTTTCTTTTCTCCCGTTTTTTCAATATAAAACGTATATGGATCAGGTAAACGAGTTTGTTTTTCTACCGTCTGTTTGTCATTAGGAATTTGTTGATGTACTTGTGCAAGTTGTTGCGTCGAAGATGTTTGTTTGTCCGTTAACTTTTCTATCGAATAAAATACTTTATTATCGAGATTTTCTAATTCAGTGGT